ACTAAAAGGTAAAAGTGATCTCCTCAGCATTGAATTCTATTGTTCTTCAACCTTCTTTTTTTTATTTTATATTTCTAATTAATTGAAATTCACCGAAGATTTTCCTATCACTTTTATAAATCAAAATAAGTATTAAGTAAGTATTGTAGATGTGAATGATTTTTCTAATCACTTTTATAAAATCAAAATAAGTATTGTAGATGTGAATGAGGCAAAATTTGTTAAATTCTTTTTATTTTCAAATGTTTATCTATTTTTTCATTTTAGTCTGTTTATTTGGTCATTTCACATTGCAATATTCTTTTTCATAGGTGAAAGAATTTAAAAAAAAATTCTTGCTTATGCCTTTTAATTTAAAGCAAAATGTCAAAGAATCGTTTCGATTAAACACAGTCCCATTCTATGAGCTCTCGAATTAGGTGAACCCCTTTTCCTTGAATGAATCCGAGATAGTGACTTCTGAATGGAATTATCTAAAATTTTGAAGAAGTGACTCATGCATACTAACATGTCCAAATACAGGCATATATATTAAATTAGCAAATGTGGTAAGTATACTGCATGAAAACTGCGTATATATCGAGGTCCTGAGGGAAGGAGAAGCTTGATTAGTACTGATTGAATTCTCCACCCGGCTCCTAATTTATCCATATATTATCTCTTCTATTCCTTTCAGCCTGTCACATTTCACAAATTTGCACTTATTTAAAACTTCCAAGCAATTTAGAATGAAAAAAGAAATGAGTGTTTTATTCGTTGCAAAATTCACGGCATTTGCATACATTTGATTTGATAAAATGCGAAAATATTGTTTTAACGTACGTCTCATACTTAAATTTTCTTAAGCCTAAAAGCAGTTGCGCAAATTTTTCTTTACAGTAATCACGTGACGTTTGCGTATATTTTTGCAGTACTAAGAAATCTCAGTACTTCACATTTATAGTTCACTATTAAAAGACATATATTATTGTTTAATTCTACTAATTACAGTTAATTCAATGATTATTTTATTTTTAATGAAATCAGGTTTTCATTCTCATAATCACGACATGCTTTAATGCGTACAAGCAAAAGTGTAAGTTGCAGACTTACATTGCTGTCTCTTCTTGTGAAATTTTATCTAAAATTTATCTTAAATTAATTTATAAAAAAAACTTTTCACAAGAAATTTTTGCTAAAAATCTAGAAATTTCTTGTTAGTTACTTATTCGAATTATGTTCATTTTCAAATTTATTTGAAGGAAGAAATTTTTACTGAAGTTTTCATTATCGTCTTTTGTTTGAATTTATTTTTGTAATCATTTGAAAGTTAATGTTATCGTTCACCGTAGAGAAATTCAAAAGGTACTTATCTTGGCATATAATTTGGTCATCCAATAATATCAGCTAATGCGATGTTAATGAAATATATTTTTGAATGATGAAAATACAATTCCCTAGTTTTCATAACCTAAATATTGGTTTTGGCCCGATGTTTTTTATTGCTTGTCAATATCAAATCCAATTTTAAATACATCCTCAGGGAATTTTTGAAAGTAAACATATCAGTTGATATGACCTGCGATTAAAAAAAATATCGTCTATAATTATTTATTTTTTTTTTACTTAACTTCACAGATATATATGTTCCTTTCAATGTTTCTATTTTTAGTAAAAAAGATTAAACGGAAAATTAAAAATTACGAAGGCAGCAAAGATATTATCCTCGTCTCCCTTGAGCTTAACACTATTTTTCCATAATTTGAATGAAAACTTGTTAGCCGAGTAATTGGAACAGCAGGTATAATTGATGAAATTTTATTTAGCATAATAAATTGTTTCGTAGAGAAATGCATCACCACCATTCACTGTAACTTCAATTAAATGACTCGTTCTGAACGAGTTTGTATAATAGCTTTATGATTATGTCGAAAACAATTTCCTTATTTTTATTAATGATTATTTTGATTAATGAATTAAATTGCTCTATTATATTTATTCACTTTTTTAATTGTCTCGAACCCCACCACGACCATTTAGTTTGGTGGAACATCTCAAAAGTGTCACGAATAAAATCTACCAATTTTTAGGAGCGTTCACTGAGATATCATATTAAAACGTGCAATTATTTGACTTTGATTTCAAATTGTTTCATTTTTCCACTAACTAAAGAGCAGTGATGGTGAATACGCCATAATAAGCATTAGATGTTTTTTTATTGAAGTGCTTAAATTCAATTTTTTTTACCCATATTATGCCTAAAAACAAAGTTAATTAACATTAACCTAAGGTAAGTTCAATCTCATACAGCAGATGACCTGATTATCCACGCTTATTGGTCTTGAAACAACTATACCGAAAAGTGCTTGGTGATTGAAGTATAAGAAATCAGGTAGTAATGTCCGAAGTGATGCAACTGTCATTCTCTAAAAAACTTCATCGATAGTTGTTACATAGTATTACGACTCTCTATCATCTCTTCGTTGTGTAACAAAGAAAGCCGTACTGATCAATCTATTGATCCCATCCTCTGTATTTGAATTCTGATGAAGTGCAATGAATACAGAATAACAGTATTGAAAGTAATAACTGCATTGAGAAATGAAGTAATAATAACTGATTGTATATTTATAATGCTAAATGGACATGGAATAGACAAAAAGAAAGTAAGAGGAATAGAAGGATTATTAAAGATGAAAATTTGAATGAACATTTGTGGAAAGTGTATGCTTTTGTTTGATGGAATCCAATGGCTGTAGAGATTTGGCTGGTAATAGATGTCCAGTCCAGCTGAAGGACGTTCAGTGCTCCTTGTTCTCGTTGTTCTCGTTCTATCCCCAACCTTTTATTATATTCCTCTCTATCCTACCTATTCATTCTGTTTTATTTCATTTATTCCTCCTTCATATTCTCTTTTCCATTTTAATTTCTATTCAAAAATTTATCACGATCAAAAATGTTAGTTTCTAAAAGTTTCAGATTATTTAAAATAAAAATGATGGAAACATTAATTGTGCCTAAAATTCCATACATATTATTTGTAAATTATTTAAATTTAATGAATGAATTATAAATCACTAGCAAGAATTACTATTATAGAATTATGTGTTAAATTTTATTTTATTGCATATATTGATGCTGCAATAATGAAATGTCAATATCAAAATCAAATAATCGATGTGAGTGTCTTTTAATAACGATGAATAAGTAAATATTATTGGGATACTAAATCTCATTTCATATTGTAGTGCACTACGATGTACGTTCCAGAACAGTGGAAAATTTTTTGCTTCTTTATTCTACTCCTGTGATAACGATCAATAAAGCACTTCCTGATGGGGCCATAGAAACTTTCAAAAGCTTGTAAATCACATTAATTTCACAAATTCCTTTTGTCATCGCTGATTATTGCTATATTGCTTTGACATTTGAATTGAGCATCATTATTACAGCGTTAGTTTACATAACATATTAGAATATTTCTCTGCATGAATAAACACTGAAATTTATGATAAAAGCCAAACAAGATAATATCAAGTAAAAACAATGATATTGTTCAGCAAATAAGTAAACAAAGTCTTTATCATTAATTATTGTTTGAAATTCTTCATATAATTAAAGATTTTTTAAATTTTAAAAATTTATTCTCCTGAGATAGATAAATTATTCTAAACAAGGTTTATTTGCTATAATATGTTGATTTAACATTGATGGATCAATGATTGCGATGACACGTTGATTTGACTTTGTATTTCTGCTACTTTTAGCCTGAAATCCAATTTGCTTTTGATGCAGTTCAGTGATTTCTCTCGTTCAGTCTATTTCTCAGATCATTTATATAGTTTTCTTCGGAAAGTCAAGAAATTTCTTTCAAAGCATCCAAAAAGTACGATAAATTCATTTTCATGTTGAGAGTACCGTAATGTTTAATTTCCGAGATCTTTCTCAATTTTTTGCAGCGTGAATGCGCTGCAAAATTAACAACTTAAAGAGAATTTTGAGTTAATAATGAATTTTATCGTTGTTACCTCCTCTTCTCCTGAAATTTTCGTTTTTTTAACATTTCTAATTTCTGCTCTTCTACTCCATCCTATTGCGAATAAACTTTGTACTTCATCTAAGATTTTGAAATCAATTGTGAATTAATCAAACTATCTTTGTCTCGTTATAATTTTGGAAATTGAAGTGAAAGAGATGCTGATATGGTGGACGAACTGATGTAATTTAGTTCATCGGAAGACTGGCGAGCTAATTATAATGAGCAAGATGGATGCTTCCGCCTACATCCCTCCGTCTTCCTTTCATTAGGGAATCATCGCCATCCCAAATAATCCCAAGTCCAGTGCATTTAACAATATTAAATTCATTGCTCCAATAGTCTCCCTTCACTGATGCAAGAATGGATAAAGACATCTTTCAATTAGGGTTTCAAGCCACTCTCCCATTTCATCCAAAATTTTGCTCCAAAATCAATCGAACAATTTTTGCTCGAACGCGAAATATTTGTTCACAACTGCAAGAAGAGGACCATCTGCAATAAAGTGTATTAAAGTTGAATGAATTAGATTCTCCAGATTTTGAATCATATTTTGATGCACTGTATATTCAAAACTATTAAGAGTTGATTTATGCATTCATTACTATTTCTTATTAGAGATATTACAGCTATTTTCATTGCTGGTCAGATTGCTGGTAAAATTTTATGATCCGAAATTCATAGCTTTATAACATGGAGAAGGATATTTAAATTATAAAAATTTATTAAATGTAGTTGTCATTTTATAATGGCAAGAATTATCGTTTTCATGGTGATAACATTTTCAAAATTCATTTTTTCTCAACTAGACAAATATTTTAAGCGTTATTCTAAAAGGCAAGTGCTATATCTGAAGGGTCGGGAGTTATACTTTCTTAAGGAGTTAATTTTGGGCTTTCTGGGATCGAATCACTGTCAAGTATAAAACAACGCTTGTTTTCACAAGCAATTTATAACTATTTTTCATCATTCAGAGTTTGGTTTGATGCAGCGCCTCAGTTCATGGTTTGAACAGTTGCCTCTGCGACGTCGTGAATCTTCTCGACGATCAGAGAATTGTGATTCGTTATCACACTCATACAAAAGGCAATCCAAATCAGCAACACCACGACTTCATTATAGCGTCAGTACCGTACAGAATCGTAATCATCGAGATCATTCTGTTAATGCTCCGTCGCAATCTCTGATCATCAATGATCAGTTACATGGTTAGTAGCATTTTATATTACTAAATGCATAGAGCAACTTAGATTTCTCTACCTTAAAATATAATTTAAACAAAAATATGATTAAAAATTGTTTACAGAGATATTGATTCTAATTTAAAATCCTCATTTATCTTATATTGGCACCGCAACCATCATTATTTCACTGCGTAAAACTTAGCTAGTGCTACGACTTGATTAGCCCGGCATCCATTGTTGGCCCATTATAGCAACAATTCCCAGTTGTTAGGAGAGGCGAGTTAAATTAACAGAAAGAACATGTATTTTCATTTGCTCAGTCATTCTTTATTTCATTTGTATTTCATTGCAGTAATAATGCCGTCTTCTTGGAACAGGCAAGAAACGGTAAGTCAATCATGTCGCGACAGTTCCAAACTTGCCATATCTTTCTTGCAGTCATTCTCCTCATCAACTAGCTCTGGACGAAAAGTATGCTTCCATAATGAAAAAGTTAACTAAGTTTACACATAGTTTATATGCACTCATTAGTTATACAAAATAATGGAGAACAAATAGAACTGGAGTGAATCTGATCTGATTTGGCTTAATCGGGTTCGATTTCAGATGCTTGACATTATCTTGCTCTTTCTTCCTCATTCCTCAATTTTCAAACCACTTTTTCAGAATATACGTACAAATCCGTGGATTTCACACAGTCGTCCACTGATTCAGACTATTGCTTCTCAAGGGCCAAAATCCACTGGTGAACTGATGTATGCGTCAACAGATCATACCGCATCATTTCGCATCAAAAGTCTGGACGAAAGCGTTTACAGTTCCGGTTATAGCAGTCAAGATAGCAGGTAGCAGAGCTTTCCGTTTTCTAAAGAATTATTTCTCAAATGAAGAGAGTATTTCTGGATGAATTGATTTCCTCAAGCAGGAAGGCATTTACAGAAATGTCCTGAAGTTTGGAAATAACTTTATAATTTAAAATCAAAATGTAAGATTCTTGTGTCCCTCTCTGAAAAAAATCCAGCAAGATATGGGGAAGAAAATAATCTTCTCTACTTTTTAAGTTTTCGAACTGCAGGCTAACAGCTTATGCTTATTCTATTATTTTTAGTCCGGAATCGTCAGTGCATACGCCGGATTGGCAACCATCATCGATCATAACTGAAAAGCACGGTCAATTAGAGGATAAAGCGGTGGAATGCAATTCAATTGATGTCGATGAAGCTTTAGGATTCGACTTGGAAGACAAATGGGAAATGGAGAGTCCGAAACCAATCGACTATGGGGACCGGTTTCACAAAGATGACGAGCACTTATATCATGAACTGGAGGTCTATTCTTACTCTTACACTCTTACTACAAATAGAAGTGTACTCTTCCATGGAACTTAACATTGTTAGGGATTTCTTACTTTCTTGATTAATTAGAAATTAAGAGCAAATTCTGCTAGCATAACGGAAATCTCTCCAAAAACCTGACTCCTCCACATCTACAAGCAGACTCCATTCATCTAGTTATTTGTACGGAGATTTTCACAATAGTCTTGTTTGCGTAACAGAGAAAACAATCATTATCTCTCATCGATATAATAATAAAGTTTAGCAAACCAGTATCCAACCTTAGGCTCATAAAAGATTTGCTAAATTTTGTGTGTTCTCGTTAGGATATGGTATTCTGTTTTGTTATTCGAGAATCTTCATTCCAACCCAGGTTTAGCAGTATAAAAAGTGTGCGGAGTAATTTAATTTTGAATTGAAGGTCGTCAGTCAATTATCATTGTTATCGGATAGCCGGACCTTTTCATCGGATTCGGAAATTGCTAGCTCATCAGATGAATCGCTGAATTCTCCTCGATGCTTATCGCCAATTTACACCCAACCAAATCATGACTATTATAATCTAGATTATTGCCATTACAAACCCGAAAGATATGAGGAGGACCGAGTGACTGAGTACCCAAACGTAGCCTCCAGCTTCACCTATATTCCTTGTGGTAGCTATAGACCGCCACCCGAATTTCACCCTCCTCCTCCACCTCCACCACCACCGCCACCACCGCTACCACGATCTTTAAGAACAAATGATTTGGAACAAGCTGAACTGGATTTTTTGATTGAACTGGATGCGCAAATTGCCGAATTACAGGTAATCAGTTTTTTCAACATGAAGGCATAAAATAAGGCTCCAATTATCTTCAAACTTTAAACTGTGTTGTACACCCTCCTCCTCCACCATCATTCTTCAGAATGAATTGTTGAGCATTCGCATCAAAATAGCTGCATTTTCTAGCGATTTGAAAATTTGTGAGTGTGATTAATAGGTAATTTAAATCAGCATGTATGTGTAATGCTAGAAATGCTAGAAAAAAGTGTGGAAATGTTAGAACAGAAACTGCGACTGTTTGGTGGTTGGCAACGTGGGAAGATTGTAATTGGGTACTTAGGCAGTGTCTGATGAATCGAAATGTTTTTCAGTTAAAAAGTGTGGAAGTACGTCAACTCGTAGACGAGGCCCGTGAACGTCGCGATGCACGTGCTCATAATGCGCAATTATATCACGACATGGCTGAGTTGAGACGAATGAAATGGGTGCTGCACAATCACTTCGAGTTAGTGCTCTGAGTGGACACTATTGCTATCGCTACAATCCAATTTTTACCTTGTTGCCATCTTCCATGACCTTTCAGCTTGATATATATATATACATATATAATGTATATGTATATCTGTGACTTGTAGCTGACTCATTTAAGTATTATTACCAACTTTCAGCCAGGTGCTTTACTGAAATCATGGTCCTGTGTGGATAAAAGTGTTAATGTTGAGTGAAATGAGATATGTTTAGAAAAGTTCAAAATCAGTTATTTTTTCTTTGAATTAATGCTGTGAGCATAATATTCAATAAATATCCTTGAACATTGTAACATTTCCAAAATATTTCGAATCCTTCTAAATTTTGATTTCAAATTTTAACTGTCAAATATTTTCCATCTTTGATGTGTATTTTATTCATTTCTCAGGCTTGACGAACGAAATGTTTTTTCTCTTTTCCTTCCTCGAAGGTTTGAATATTTTCATTCCTACGAATTGTCATAGTATATATGATTTTGTACCTCGATTTTCAATAGTTTGAATTTTCATATGTGTTCTAATAAAAAAAATAGAAAAAGCTATTGTGCACTCCTACCTTCTAAATTTCATGTTGATTTTTGCATTTATGAATAAAACTTCAGTTGAAATTAACGTATATACTATTATTGTTCGGGCTTTTCAGGAAACTGTTGATTTTTCTTTTTATTAGTGAGCATTTTTGTCGATGTTGTACGATTTCGTCTTGTTTATGAGAGTTTATTTCCTTCTTTTGCTTAAAATTTTCAAAAGCTTGAGAGTTGTTATAGATTCAACGCAAAATTAGTAGATATGAAACATAATTCTGAGGAAAAAACAATTCAGAAAAATCCGTGGAATGTTTTTGATTGTTCGATGTATCAATATAAATTTTCATTGTATTCGAAATTCAGATAACAGGACTTATCGTACTGATTTTTCGTGAACAGCTGTTTAGATGGCATTAGTATTCGAATTCTTTTATAAAAGATCTTATCTGTGAGATTTCCGAAATTGTACAAAATTAAGTTGAGGCAGTGGTACAGGATAAGAAAGTAAAGTGATTTGCAAAGTTAAAACTTGCAAAAGATACTGAGGTAGGGTTCGCTACGTTAATTTACGTTAATTTCTGGTAAAGATACATGATTCTTCGGGCAACCGGATGTTTTTATAAGGGATGCTAGATAAGGTGCATGCATTTGCTATTCTTTCGTTGAAAGTATTATAAATAGTGCATCTTCCGGGTAATAATGCCCAAGTTTTAAACTAATTGTCGATTAAAGAAAAATGTATTACCAGCAAGCTCTCTTTGATTTTGCTGAGAACCGAGAAGTAATCAAATTTAGAGTGAAATAATGGTTGTAAACTGACATATGATGTGCATATGGATAAGTTTATCTCATTCATACGGTACATGGATTATTTTGCGATGTCAATATAATAAATTCATCAGGTGAGACGTTCGTTTGCGGGCAAAGAGACCACTTGCTGGATATTCCACCTTAAGGCAAGATATTCATGTTAGAAGTATTTTTTCAATGTATGTAAGTCTGTTGCCGGCTGGAGAGCTGCTAAAAATCATTGGTTAGCAAAAACTAAAGAACGAACAACAGTTCAGTAAAATTATCAAATTAACAACCAAAAGCATGTTATTAATCGGTTAAATATTTTAGCTAGCGAAAAAAGTGATACGTGTTTGCAAAGGATATTTCTAACATTGATAAAGACACTCCACTGGAATCACCCAACAATTATAATGCTCATCTCGTGTCATATTTTTTGCACAGCGCGATATTTATCGATTATATTCACATCATAAATATGACATGACCAGGGTCAAAGGTCACGTTTTTACCTCTTTTGAACAAAAGAAAGTTCTGTTTGGGTTGAATTTCAAATGCTTTTAATTTGATATAGGTCGAACGTAAGTGATTCTAGCTGATCCTGGTTCACCGTTCACTAGTACTTATTGGTTATCTTCATCACCACAAATGTTATCTCTCGACTAACTGGCATAATTTCAGAAGACTTAAAATTTATAATCGTCACCTGAAATGTTTTTATCTGTCACGTTATCGCGCTGTACAATTAGCATATGTTCTCGAAGAGATTCCACCATTGCTGTTGTCACGAAGGACAAATTTGCTTCCTATAGCTGGAGGTATCGATCGCTTTCCGCAGTCTGCTATCCTCTATTAGCCAGTTTGGATTCTCGAACTGACTGTGTTGTAGTGAGAATTATCGCATCACATACTTTAAATTAGTTGTGATTCTTCCTTTGTAGGTTACGTTCTCATCTGAATGAATACATTTTTTCAGCCGTTTTGATAAATTTGGATGAATCCAGATACGAATTACATACGATTGCGTGGACTTCCGTTCGCCGCCAAAGAACAAGATGTTCGAGATTTCCTTCAAGGTTTTTTAAAACAGATTATTTCTTAGTTATAAGCAGTTGTTTTCATAGATACAGAAGATTTTTTTCGGTTTGAATGCAAAGTCGATAACTTTCACGCTAACATCAAATGGTCGAGCAAGTGGCGAATGTTACGTGGAGCTAGATGATCGGGAAGCTGTTAAAGAAGCTCAAAAGCTTGATCGTAATGAGATAAATGGACGCTATATTGAAGGTTTGTGCAAAGTTGGTGAAATAAAGTTTCCAGCTGGAAAGAACATTTTGCAAGCGGATTTGAAGATTATAAAAAAGATATAAGTAACACTGTGCTTCGTCTAATCAGAGGACAAAAACTTATGATCCGCCAAGTTTATTTTCTAATTTGGTGCTCATGTTAATTGTCTTCACATGAAACCTTTGCAGTATTCAGCGTTAGTGATGCAGAGCTGTTGATGATGATACGTCATGGAGTGATCAAAGGTAGCGGTGGAGATGCGGATAGCCGCTACGCTAGTAACTTTGTTGTTCGCCTTCGAGGTTTGCCATATAGTGCAACGATCGATGACATCAAGGAATTTTTCTCAGGTTTCTTTCTACTCACTTTAAATGTTGATTTAGATTAAATGATTGGCTTCTGTACTTTTTTCTGGATTGCAACTGAAAATTTTTCAAGTGAGGTATTTCCTTGGAATTTTATTGTTTTTCCGAAAACAATCCAAATGTAATTTTCATGCCGTTGTACAGCTGATTGTCGGAGTTTATGTCATCCCCGAACAGAATTAAAGGACCGGTAAGCGGTAGTTTGGTATGAGAGTGGTTTTGGTAATGTGTTTTAATGGGAATATAGGCCTGGAAGTAGCGGATGCGGTAATCGACAAAGAACCGGGGGGTCGACCTTCGGGGGAGGCATTCGTACGGTTGGCAACCAAAGAATACGCGGAATTGGCTTTGGAGAGAAGCAAAAACTACATGGGTTCAAGGTATGGGAATTCTGTTGGGGAATTTGCAAATTTTCAATCTGGGCAGGTAAAATTTGTGTTTGTTGGTAGGGTCCGAGTTGAAGAGTGGCCATTTGGCTACCAAGGATCTGGCGTGATCTTTGTTTAGCGTAAGTTTTTTACGGAAATTATGACCAATTTGCTATCGCTCATTAGTATTTGTTTTACATAAATTAACGGTTATTTACATTTTTATTTTCTTTGAATTTAGGAAGAAAGAAAAGCGAAGTGCCTTTGATCTGCTGAATACTAATAGTCGTTTAAATTTTAATTTCTTGGAATAAAGGAGAAAGAAAAACGAAGTATCTTTGATCTGCTCATAATGGTTATTTTAGATATGTCGAAGTTTTCCGTAGTTCCGCCGATGAAATGGATAATAGCTATTATGCGGCACGAGGCATACCACCACCAACCAGTGGACCAGTCCCATTGCGCGGAATAAGTCCGACGCTTGATTTTCGATTTCGTGATAGGTATTTTCGTTAATTTTTTATAATCCTTTTTATTTTAAAAATCGAAAACACCGCATTGTTGTTTGACAGTTATTACTTGCAAAACATGAGATTCAGTTGGAGTTGTTCCAAGTGTGGTAAAATTTCCCCAAGGCTGTTGTTATATGATAATTGACTTTGGCGAAAGCTGGGAAGTAAGCTTTGTAGGTATGCAGATTATGGCCGCTACGGTGGACCGATAAGGCTTTCAAGCTTACATCCACGCCCATCTCCATATGATCGTCCATATTACGATAGGGATCGTTATTATCGATACGGTGCACGGTATGATCCAGAATTCGATGAAGCAATGTATGATCCCACCGTTAAAGTTTTCATGCGAGGTTACTCTTTTGTTTATAAATTGACTCATGTTGATATTTTTGATAAATCTGCAAAGATAAGCCATTATGCTCTATATATATTGCGGAAGTTGGTCAGATGCATATATGGTATGTATCAACGAAGATCATTCTTGAGCTAAGCCATTTTATCTTATTTTGCTATTGTTATTATTAGATATTATTTTCAGGTTTGCCGTACAGTGTTACTACACTTGATATTGAAGAATTTTTCCGACCGCTAAATTGCGTCGAAATTAAACTTGGTTATAATGAAGAACGTCGTCTTTCGGGTGATGCACTGGTAACTTTTTCAACAATGGCGGAAGCGCGAGAGGCATTATCACGTAACAAAAACAATATGGGCACGAGGTAAGTGATGGAAAATATTTTGTCATAAACGTTGACTGCTCATGTCATGAATTTTCAGGACTGCTTTTAAATGGTCTTTGTCTGGTCATATTCGTGTAAATTATGTGCCAAGAGGCATTTTTTTAATCGAATTTTGGTACTCATGCTACTTTGAGAGTGGATGAGAACGAGGCATATGCAAACAAGTTACATTAAAAGTGCCTTATTGTTCAATGACAAATGGCTGTTGTCTTGAGCTCAAATTAAAGAAAAGGGAAACACTGATTGCATAAATCAGAATATCGTGAATCAATTCGATTAACAAGATTTTTTTGATGGAATCAAATATTTGGCCGCTTTCTATGGATATGTTATTTTTGGAACGAGGATGAAAAATCGTTTCAAATAAACAGCGACATGCTTTCAGAAAGCTTTGAATATCTTTGTATCAGTAACTCCTTTTTTAGAATTAAAAAACGAAAACGTACGAGGATTTCTGAAGGTACCAAAATGTTGTTACAAAAGAGGAGAGCAATGAAGAAGGAGAATCAAATGGACGATGAATATGCTGCCTTATGCAAACAAATACGAACGCAGATGAAAAAGGATTTTGAAGAATACAGACGTTGGAAAAAAGGAAAAACATCGCAAGAAAACACTGAGAATATGCTGGAGGATGAAACTGCTTCGGAGGATTTCGAGCGAGAAATGGAAGAAGAGTTTTTGGTGGAAAATACAGGAAAAGAAGATGCGATATCATTGAAAAATTTTGGGATAATGTTGAAAAAAAGTACAACTGAGGAAAACGCGGAAATTTCCCAAGAAGCAGTACAGCAAAATATGGAAAAGAAAAAGAAACAAGCAAAAGTTGAGCAGGAGCTTGTTGAGAAACCTGAAGAACATTTATTAAATTTATTGTGTACTGCAGACGCTTCTAAGAAGGCAAATACAGGAAACGAGCAACACCAAAAAATAATTATGTCCCAAGAAAGAGCACAAGAAGCTAAAGCGTCTGGCGGAGATGACATCAAGCTGAAGAAAACGTCTGATGCAGGTGGAGTACTTGAAACGATGATAGGTAACGAGATCGAAAAAATGCAAAGCGACGAGGCAGTGCAAGCAAATGATGAAAAATGTGCAGAAAAAGAAAGAATAGGACAACCGAGCAGTGTTGAATGGAAAGACGAACAACGGATAAAGGGCAGGTACGGAGCAGCGGAAAATCGCTCGGTCCTCATTACGGTACCTTTTGGTCGTTGAGGTGAAATTGTGTACCGATCACAGTTCCATACAGTCTTTTATTTGGGACAGCTGCACGGGAGAAAAGTAGGTGAAGGGATTTTGGCAATACAAAATCGCTTTATCTTTATTCCAAACATACATTTATAGTTGAAACAAACAAGAGTTTGAAGGTTTACAGCCTGTAAACTAAAACTTTCGATTTATTGTGGACTGTCGACATTTTTCAGCGATTTGAAATTATAAAGACGATGCAAGTCTTATAAAAAATTATAATGATGCTTCTGAAACTAAGATAGTTTTATTACTACTGCTCCATGTAATCTCAATATGATTGCCCCTATTTTTTTGCTGGTGACTTTAAACATTTGAAGCTTCATTTTACATCCTTTAATTCATTCATTATTGTTGGTCTGTTCAAATTAGCTGTACTTGGCATGCAGTTGCACTCTATTGACCAAACGAATCAAATATATGGCACTGCATTGAGGGCCGAGCTATTTTCTGTACTTTATATGATTATAACACTTTTTAAAATGATTTATGTTAAATTTCCCTTTAGATTTATATTAAATTTCCCATTTTTTGATTTCTATTTTTATTCCTATTTACTAGCTTAATAATGCTGTTTCTTTTTCAGATACATCGAATTATTTCCAGCAACAAATATCCCTCATCCAATTAAAACGGTAACATTCCGTACAGTAAGCGGAGCGCCTACCCGTCTAACATCAGCTCCACGTCCACTGTACAGCTCTTTTGCTGAAGGTAATATTTCTGTTACTTGCTATGAATTATTCATTCACTGGATCATACCTATAAAACTTAGCTTCCATTGAGGAATTCTTATGAGGGTTTTTTTTTTCGTTTTTTCGCAAATTACTCTTTTCATTTTAAATTCAACTGTTTAATCATTTAATAAGAATATTAACAGGCCTTTCCTAAAAGTGCATTGAAAAAAATATTGCTTTGCAAACAGGCTTTTGCTTAATATTATTTATTTTTATTTTTCATTATCTGTCTTTTTTCTAATAGTCATGGACACAGATAATCATTGGTGTAGTAATCAAAATTTCGTTCTGAAAATTTTGTGTAATTTTAACTCCGAAAAAAACACTGTTGTTGAGGAAATCACAAATCTTAATTAATATGCCAGTTATTATAATTAGTAGTATATCTTTCAACACCGTAAGTTGCTGTTAGGAAAAGAATCCTGGTCTTGGTTTTTTACTTTTTTTTAAGGAAACGAGGAAGCAAAATGATTAGGTTTCCTCTGCAGTATTTCGCTCGTTAAAATTTTCCATTTTTTAGATGAAGAAGCTGCTTATGCAAGTGGAGTTGGTGGACAACAGGTGAGTTTTCTGAGACTTTTTATTGTTTATTGATGTTCTTTGATCAATCGTCATGCTTTGATCTAAATTTTTGGCGGAATTTGTTCCAACGATTTTATTGGAATTTTGTAAGTTAAGCGGAAATGAGGTGTGTAGTCTTTTTTACGTTGTTATTAATGTAGTACTGTTTACTCTTATATGAAAGCATACAATATTTTTGATAAAATTCTTGCAGTACTACAATGATCAGTATGAAGGACGTCAGTCAAAATATGGTCGTGATTGGGGCGAACCAACACGTACAACTTGGTGATACGTCAAAAAATAATAAATATAATTTGATCTGCGAAAGTCGTTGAAACAGTTTTGTTTAACAATATTTTTTTTAAAAAGACACTAATTATTATGTTAGGCCCATTTACATATATTTGAGTACAGAGGTTGTTTTCGATTTCGTTTTCAGTGTATCACTTTTTCCTTCGCATCAATCTAAAGCATTTTTTGTACTGTTCTAACGAACATACTCACTAGTTAATTAATTTTATATTATTTTACTTCCAGTTTTTATTGGTAATAGAAAACATGATGTTATTGTTTTTATAAAACAGAAATTCGCATAAAAATATTATTTTACTTCCAGTTTTTATTAGTAATGGAAAATATGATGTTATTTATAAAACAGAAATTCGCATAAAATTTTCTTTCACGGTTTTGTCTGCACTTCGCTTAATCTGTGATGGTTTTTGTCCCGTTTGACAATGTTTTAAGGATGCTGTTGCCGTCTAAATATATTCCATTAACTTTCATGTCTACTTTGCATTGTATTCTGTGCGCTATCATTTGTGTTCGATATACTTTATTAGTTAACTCTTCTTGTCCTTATTATACGTGAGTATTTCTGGAAAACAGATTAATAGTGAGATCTTGCATATTTCTTTGCTCCGAATGTTTTATCAATTGAAATGAGAAATAAAATGATGCTCTAGATTGCCATTACGAGTTTGGTGGAACGGATTTTATCAGATTTTTACGGGGACTTAGATGCCAATTAAGTTATAATTTTGTATAATTATTTAACTAACTTTGCTGGGTCGCAAGATATTAAAAAAGATTTTGATAGTGCTTTCGAAAAATTATATGCAGGAGTTTGGTCGATTATACATCCGCGCTGGAAAGATTTTTTGAAATTCATCGGAAGCGTTGACATCTCTATGTTTGCACTGTTGTTGTGTACGTTTCTAGGTTTGATGTTAAGAAATGTCAGTGATTTTGTGCGGAATGTGCTAAAGAAAACAAAACAAGTGAAGGATATTTGGATGGATGCCTTTGAATCTGCACCGTCGGATTCAGCTACTGTTGTTGATGGCTAGTTTTTTGTATTTCTTTCCATATATTAGCTTCCTCGTAATTCAAGCTTAATTTTGACATGGATTAACAAGATTAACACTGTGGAGCTTTTTGACTCGGGACAAGTCATCTTTTAAAACTGAAATGAATTCTTGGGTTTTTAGAACCACTTTCATTTTCTTTGTTGGATTCTTGTTTTTGGCATGGAAAAACTTAGAACTACACAGTATACATAATATTTGTAAGTAAATCTGTTATTTTTTTTACCACCTTTTTATAAACTCCAGTAATTTCGGTATCTCTTGTTTGAAAACTAAGTTATGAACTGATTTGCAATTTCATAATTTGATTTGTTCAGTCATTTAAAAAATTGATTAATATTTATAGGTGAACCAATTAGAAAAAGCAGAAGAAAAGAATATTCCTATGCACTGCTGTTAGCATATCAGGGCAAGAAATACAATGGTATGCAGGTACACTAGCTTTTTGAAACTGCTTTTTTTATTTTAACTTCAATTCCGATATTCCGTAGTTTTTTGGGGCAAGAATTCTGGGCGCAAATAATTTCCGTTTAAAGAGAATGAATTGCTTTTTTAAAAAACCCTATTATTTTGCATAAGATATATGCATAAAACTTGTAGGTTTGGATTGAAGAGTTGATAAGTTACTTTGTACAGGAGTGAGAGATTTGAACAAAAATTTCAAACAGTTACTTTTTGCTGCTTACGCGTTGAAATTATCTGATTTTATTCATGACATTAACAAACAAACTTTCCTTATAGTTTCAGTTGAAAAGCTGTTAACAACTTGTCTCTTTTTTTGTTTTGCTTCCATGATTTATGGAAGTTGCAAGCTCGTGCCAATATAAATCAGCAAGTATTCAGAAAATATAAGATGAATGCGGAAACTAAATATTTAACTGCTGTTTATACATGAATGACTGGAGCAAATGATTTTTTAGCTTTTAACTAATTAATTCACTTTTTATTTTTCAGCTTGTACTAGCCGAACTAGGATATTAAATTGTCTGTTTTATGAATTGAGAATTTGGGAAGTTAGTTCACAATATTAGCTATTCATAATGTTCATTTTTTATAAGGAAAAAAATTTGATCTGGCGGCATAAGATAGATACAGAAAATTAATTTCCGACTCCAAGATAGTAAAAAGTTATGAAATGTTGTAGTCATTAAAAGTTGAGAATTCTTGAATATTGGAAATAGTACGCCGACATCTGAATTGTTACTCAAATTTGTATCTCTTTCTGTTACCTTTAAATAGGATAATTTGTTATGAATCAGCAGGGATTATTTACAGGTGCAAAAAGATTTCCCCACAGTTGAGGGCGAATTGTTCAAAGCGATGGCTAAATGCCGATACATTTCTGAAGATGATGTTCTTAATCCTGTTCGTTTTTCATTTCAAAGAGCTGCTAGAACAGATCGTTCCGTATCCGCAGCGCGGCAGGTTCAATTCAATTAGTTATTTCGTTTATTTGCTTTCTGTTTTGGTTTTTTTTAATTAAAGAAGAAAATTCTGTGATTATTGCAATTTGGGACTTTCTTCTCTGAAGTTCAGATGTGCTCGATGCGGTTGGCACCAGAAAACCACGAATATTTTCTAAAAACAGCTACTGATAAATTGAACGCATATTTACCTGAGGAAATTCGGGTTTTGGGTATTAGGTAAGCTATGTTTCATTTTCTCTTCTTGAGTGATCAGTAAGAGTAAACTTAAAATTGTTTTATTTTAATCGTAATTCCTTTCTTCTGAATTGCAATTATACTTACAAGTTATTTTTAAGCAGCATTCACGATGTAAATGATATTTCAGGAAATTTTAATAAAATCTTATTTACAGACGTGCAACCCGTTCCTTCAAAGCTCATAAGAATTGTGATAAACGAACCTATTCTTATACTTTACCAACCTACGCATTCGCCGGAGTACATGAGGTCTTGTGTTGTTTTTTGCCTCACATATTCAAGTCTAATTTCCCTTTTTTAAATGGATTCCGAGGAAGAATTTGGAAAAAAATTTTTTGATATTAGGAAAGGATTGCCTTTGTTGAAATATTGCATTTAATTCCAGTTGACAACCAATGCTTTCCGTATTAGCGAAACGTCTGTTGCTGAATTGAATGATCTACTTTCAATGTACAAAGGGACGCACAATTTTTTTAATTATACTTCCGGAAGGCAAGTTTTTAATTTGTCAATTAGAATAAATAGTGTATTAGATGTTTATTAATTCTTGCACGTTTTTTTTGCGTTATGATCTTATGTTTTTAGTTAAAATATGTTCTTAGCTGTAAAAAATAATTTTGCTTAATCTAACTACCAGTTAGCCGTCGATAGTAATGAAGCGCAACAAAGCATGATTCCCATTGTTTATCTGATGTATCCAGACGAGGTTAGTATCTGCAATATATTAAAAAAACTTTTAAGCATCAATATGGATCATATTTATTTTTGGCCAAATCTGGTTATAACTCAAATTTTTGTTCGAAAGTGAGTTATTGACGTTTCATGCTAACTAAACACTAAGCACCTCATTTCATTAATCTACACTGTTGTTTTAGTTATTTTTACTAGTATCTTAGGAAACCTCATTCCTGTCATCATAAAATGGACGGTACGTATCTTCTTTCTGAATTGCGTTGATACTAAATGATTCATTTGAATCCATTTTCAGCAATAAAAGATTTAAAGTGCCATGATAGATTTCGATAATACCCATATATGGTAACTTTGTCATTTGTTCAAAAATATAGAGAAACTGAAGCGAATTTCAAAAACTGTCTGTTTACAAAGCATTTTGATTAATAAGTGTATTTTATGTTGTTTGTGTTCATTTAGAGTACTTTATCCTTGATTAGATGGGAGGGATTTTGTATCAGTACTGAGTGAAAATGAATGCATATGGAAACGAGTAAAAAATAAATTACATAATTTTTCAGTCATTATTATTTTGATTAAAACAAGAAACTAACTGAAAAGATTCGAGGATATGCCATCAAAAGTTTAAGTACAGGCTTAAAAGTTTAAGCCTGCGCTTAAGAATGAAATTTGAAAACATTGCATCATTGCAATAGTATTTGGACTAATTTCAAAAATAGAAATCCATGTAAATTTTATTGTTTTAATTATTGATAAAAGGCTTGTTTGCTCAAAAGATTGGTTCTAGTACGCGGTAAATGCTTCTTTAATAATAAATTACTAGTAAATGAATATAATGAGTGTACTTCTATCAGATATAAACTACTAACTGCATGATTTATATAACCGAATAAAATAGTTCGAATTTATACAGAAATTGTTATGGTTTCTCGAACATCGATTTGAGGAATGGAATCATAAGTCAGCTCTAATATTTTTCGGGAATTTCATATAAGAAATCTTTCCATTTCTTTGTTCTTTGTTGGGGTTGCAACTGTACTAAATATTAACTGTAAAATATCTTGAGCCACGTCTATAACCGAAAATGGACTATGTTTTGAATGATCTGATTGAGAAATATCTTCGTAAACTGTAAAAAAAGCTGAGAAAATGGAGGAGACCACAATACACATCAGAAAGAGTCTGTGTTAATAGCATAAGAATGAAAGAAATATTAGGATTAGTTAATGAAGAGAATAGATTATTATTTTTCTCTGAATGATAGAATTCATCAGAGCTATAAAATTTAAGGCAATAAGTTTCATTAGTTGGAATTTCAGTAATTTTCAGTTTTGTTTGGGGACAATATTTGTTTATATTAATATATTAAAAAATATTTTTAGAACTTACGAAGACCGAAGCAACATGCGATATATACATGATTTCAAATGCGGTCCAACACAACTTGTTGAAGATCAAGTCCGGGGTGATATGGTTGAATTTATTACTCTTTATATCACTGGACAAAGCTTTATGCTGCATCAGATTCGGAAAATGATCGGTACGTTCTGTTTTAAAGACTCAAATATACAATTTTTCAACATATTTTAAAATATAATTGAATTTCAGGGATGACAGTGGCAACTTTCAGGGGACTGTGTAGCAAAACTGAAGTGAAAAATACATTTCTGAGTGAGCGAGTATGTTTTTTATCATCTGAATACAACTGGACAACAAAAAAATTTTTAATTAATAACCTTAGTGATGGGGCATGTTTATAGATCAAATTGATATGATTAAAATTAGTTATTCATCCAGGCCAAACTTGGATAATATTTTTTTTTTAACTTTTGTAGAGGCTTTAGTGGGAATTATCATTAAAATGGTACTTGTCTTTCATTTGTATTCGTAAAGGCTTCATCAAAATAGGAACATTGGAATACCATACATAAAATACAGTGAGTGATTTAACAATGGAAAAGCTTGCAGAAAGAACATTTTCTCAAAATGAAGGAAATCACAAAATTAAAGCTTTATCTTTTTTAATTATATAATCAAATTACTTGTTTAGATGGATGTACCAAAAGCACCCGGTCTAGGTTTAGTATTAGATAAAGTACACTACGAAAGTTACGACAAATGGTACGAGAAAACACACGAGACATTGAATAATTGGGGTGAAGAAACTGAAGCGAAAGCTGACGAATTTCGACAACTTTATATAATTGCAGAAATTTACCGTCAGGAGCTTGCTACTCACTCGTTGGTTTTTTTTAAATGAAAATTGTTTTTGGTATCAAGCCATCATATGACATATTTGTTAATGGATATTCTTTTAGACTTTAGTGCCTGTTATGCATACCATTATGATGTTATGAGGTTGTCAACAATTACGGATTGTATGTAATTGTTGGACAATCTCACAACATCATAATGGTATTTGAACATTTACGCCATCCTAGTCCACTCTGTATGGATACTTTTTTAAGTTTATATAAGAACATCATCTTTTAGAAGTTTTTAAAAAAGTGTGTAGGAATTTTTCTTTTAAAAATCAAAAGAAATTGGTAATATTTAGGATAGAATTATGATTTAGCTGAGCCTTTATTGACTTCGAAAATTTATGTCGCATTTCAGGATGTTCTTATGGTTAACTACCTTAATAAAGCACGACATAACGATACCCGGAATTACAAGATACTCAAAAGAAAGATCACCATTGGGATTAGCTTCCGATCGTGCATATGTTAGTTTATTCATGTGCCTATATAGATAGATCGTTGAAGCGTTCGATGATGTAATGTATTGAGTGTTGAAAGATTTTCTTTAACAAATATTTTTTGACATAAATTATTCAAAATTTATTTCATTTTAGTGATTGCTATTTTAAATAGCTTACCTATCGCTCGAGATTCAAGGAAAAAAAATAAACATTTACCAGGAGACGCAGCCTAATAAAAGATTGAGGTTTTTGCTTTAAAAGCGCATTGCAAAGTCGTTCAATACATTTCTTATTTCAGCTTGCAAATGCAGAATTGAAGGAAGTGAAAAAAGAAAAACAAAATCAGGTGTTCACTGAATGTGAGAAAGAACGGAAAGATGATGTGACAGAACTGATGAGGAAGGATTCGGATTCACAGTCAAGAGAAAATTCAGAAGGAAGTTCCACAGACACTATAACTGTTGATAGTACTTCTCCAAAAGAAATATTGCACTGTGGAGAGTCCTGATACTTCTACTGCATCTTTGCCTCGAATGCATTAAGAATTTATCAGTGTTGGAGAAAAACAGTCAAGCTGAGCTACAGTTGTCTCGAAAAAACTGAGCTACAGTTGTTTGTTTTATTGAATGCTTTATGATAAACATTTAGAAAAAAGAACAAAGAAAATTTAGTGGGCTCTTTTAATCTTAGCTTATTAAAAAGAATATTCACTTAATAGACACATTCAAAATCTTTCTTAAGATGCAGAAATACTGTAGTTTTTGAAAAATGTTTTGTTTCAATGTTATTTTAGGAAAATACTCCCACTTCATTTTCACTGTGTTATCTAGAAAATTAATTAAGTTCGATTATTTAGCTGCTCGAAACATATTTCAAAAAATTTAAAAATAGTTTTTTCTTGTTGTTTTTATTGCTGACTGGTCAGATGCTGTTGTCGAATAAAACTGCGTTTTTCTGCTAGATTCTATCTAAGCATTCGAAAAATTACACGAGCTTCAGATATTTGTTTTTTACAATTAATTCTGATTTACTACTACAATTATTTTAGTGAAAAATGACTTGAAAATCAATTTCAAAATTTTTTTCATTTCCAAAACCATTAACACATCAGGTCCGGAGACCCATCTGTAATTGGCTGAAGGTTTGAATATTAAAGAAATGGAAAACAGACCACCAAACTGTGCCGGTGCAATATTGGGTCTGTTTGCCGGTAATTTATGTAGGTTAGAACTGGGCCGCTTACTATAAGTGTTTTAGAGACCATAGGAAACGTCCCAATGTTTTAAAGCAAATAAACGGTACATTCGGTATGCTTGGTGATGGATGGATGGAGTATTTTCTGTTAGGGACTGATTTGATAGCTTCGGAAGCGAACCTTTTACCATTCCATTATTATCTCTAACTCTCGAACTCATGAACAGTAAGAAATCATTATTTTAATCTGTTTGTTTTAGCAAGTGTTTGTGGACTTTAATTAACTATTTTCAAATGGTGGAAGTTGATTAGTTATTCAGGATATGCTCGTAGTCAGTATTCATTATCAAATTCATTAATGATAGTGTTACCTCGCAAGAATACAGCAGGAATAATGTTTCCCAAAGGTTTCATATTTAGTTGGGATTGCAATTATAACAGATTTGCAGTTGTAATAATTCCAATTCTATTATCTTTCACTGTTCGATTTTAGTTTTTATGTAAAATATCTTCGTTATTGTACACTTAATAGAAAGATTCTCCGTTGATCAAGTGATGGAGTCGGAAGCAAAGCTTGGAGATAGTCATTTGGGAACAGAAATTGGTATTCGACGAAGATCGGCATCTGTCTCAGATGATTACTCAGTGCAGAAAACAAATGATGATGCTACTGAATGCAAATACATAGCATCGAAAGTAGGCTTACATCTTTTTTCTAAACTGTCAAACTTCTTTTTTCTGGAAATTTAGAAGCATATGCTAACCTGGAAATGTTGATCTTTCGAATTGTTTTGAAAATATCAGTGCGTTAGAGTCAATTCTATTCATTTCTGGAATGAAATTTAACTTACATAGTTAGTTGAAGAGGTTTAGAAGCTTTAAACGAAGTCGCTATTACAAAATTTTCATAAGACAAGGATTTTCTCATTTATTACTTTATACTATCCGTTGTTGACTTCGCTGTGACGTGCACTTATTTCGATGGAAAAATTTCAGCTGAATTATTTCAAAGATGCATATATCCATCGATTTATATCGAGCGGTGAGTGTAATCTTCGTCGTGATCCTGAAATTTCACGTGGTTATTGGGCCAGAATTGTCGCAGTTAAGGCCATTGTGGATGCATTTTTAAAGGTGTGATTAAATAACGTTGTTTTAAACTGCAAAACGCTTTATTTTCAGTTGAGTGCATAAGGCTTTGGCCTTGAATCGAAGAAAAAAGATTTTACGCTTATTAACTGTACTCTTTTCTTATCTGCTTTAATATATTCCTTTTTTAGACATTTTCTGAAAAATGTCAGATCATTAATCTTGGTGCGGGATTTGATACTCTGTACTGGCGGCTAAAAGGCGAGGGAAAACAGCTTCATCGGTATGTTGAAGTGGATTTTAGTTCCGTCACTGCGAAAAAGATTCGGCAGCTGCGAAGGCCGGGTTCACCTAATCTTATTTCTATGTTTTCTGAGGAGCGTAAGTAATTGCTATTTTTAGGGTACATTAAGCTTAAAATTGAGTTTGAATTCAAATTTGTACAAGCAGATGATGCAGAATATACAAAATTTTAAAACTTTCTTCTAGAAGGATAGAGGCAGTAAACGGATGAAAATTGAATGGAACTGATGTACTTTGCTACTGTAAAGTTGTTTCAATAAATTATTTGTTTAGCAAAAGAAGTGGAACATGCAGATCTGCATGCAGGTGACTACCATTTGGTTGGTGCTGATTTGAGGCAATTAAATGAATTCAAGGAAAAGCTTGATAGTTGTTGTTTAAATTACAAAACGCCGACATTATTTATCGCAGAATGCGTTTTGGTGTACATGGGAACGGGCCAGAGTGATACACTTTTGTCAGCATGTGTCAGATGGTTTGAGAATGCTTTTTTCCTAAATTACGAACAGGTATGTTTCGTTCATTCTGCTTCTTTAAAATTTAGATCTGTATTTAATTTTATAAATTTCATATTTTCATAAGTCGCTAACTTTTAATGTTGACTCACATCTAACTTTTAATGCCGAGTTTATGACCAAAGGTTTAGTCAATATTATCATCCTTCAATACTACATATTCATGATTAATGCTACTACGACCATAGAAAAATGCAGTTTTAATCGCTGCAAATAGAAGCTTATATTCGAATTTTACTCTTTTTTAGAAATAATAGCTTTTAGGAAAAAATACAACATTCTAAAATTCTCATCTTCATCCTACATTCAGGTGAATATAGGCGATACGTTTGGCAAAATAATGGTATCAAACCTTCACGGACGTGGTATAATTTTGCCAGGCCTTGCTGCTTGCGAAAATTTAGATGCCCAGAAAAAACGGTTAATATTTCATAATAGATTCATGACACATAATAAAAAAACGATACTGTCTTAGTTATATGCGTTCGCGTTTTTGTTGTCTTGTTCTTATTTCTTATCGCTGTTTATACTCTGCATTATTTTTTTTCGCTTGATATAAACCACTTAGTAAACTTCCTTTATAATTTCTTTTTCTAGCTTTATGGACAGTGGTTGGAAGAATGTTGTTGTCAAGACAATGTGGGAAATTTATGGGAAGGAAATCCCGGATGCGCAAGTAAAAAGGTTTCTGAATTAATGAAATTCATTTCCTTTACAGCATTCACTTCATGTTCTTCCTGCTAGATGCTATTTGTGAATTTACCAGTTTGATTGGTGAGATTCCCTAGGATTTATTAGAGCTGAAATTGACATCATGGCCAAATTATATTCATGTTTTCAGGATTGAAAAGTTGGAATTATTGGACGAAAAGATCCTACTTTCGCAGCTACTGGAACACTATTGCTTCGTTATTGCTTCAAGTAGTGCTCATATGCTTGATTTCGGATGGAAAAAATAATATATTTCAAAAAATCTTTTCGACGTGAAGGGAAAGGAAGAAAATATAAAGACATAAGTCATAGTGAAAAAATCAATAAAGAAAGCAAGAACAGTTCACTATCAAAGTGTCAGTATCTGTCAAAATTTTGCTAATTTAAAATTTGTTCGCAATGTAAGTGTCCGTATATGCGATCTTTCTTTGCAGTTGCTTTTTGATTCCATTTTTAATTACGCATAAATATAAAAGTTATTGATTTTAGTTCACAAAAAAATAATTTGATAGTTTCGGAAACAGTTACCAAATTTTATGAAAAAATTCGTTTATAAGCTATACTTGTGACTTAAATCTTTATAATAAAAGAAATATAGTTTTTCTATGATTTCTCAAATATTATGAATAATTTCACTGATTTGCATTGAACAAGCAACTTCTATACTTATAGTCCTAAGCTTCTTTGAAATCTTGTGACGTTATTCATTTTTAGGAGAAAAAATTCATTCAAGCGTAAATTATATTTTTGTATTCTTGAGAGATTTTCCATGCAGAATTTTCTGGGGGTTTTTGATATATTAACATGAATAAAAATAAAATAGTCGATATTTTTTGATGTGTCATCCAAACGAAGTTTGCTTTGCTTAGTATTTCTTTCCCACATTATTTGCAAGTTATGCAAAATATTTTGTAAGTTTTGTAAAAATATTTTAAAGTTTACCAGGCGGCAAAATTAACATATTGCGAATAGGATTAAATAGTGAAGCAGTACTTTTTTTGATTATGGGTTTGAAATAGAGAGCTGGAAAAAAGAATGAAACTTTATAGGCAAGATAATTGAAGTCTATAGCTATTGTGCTGGTAGGTTTCCTGATATTAATTGATAGGCAAGAAAATACGATGGCTTTATTCTGCAGAAGTGGAGTAAATATAGCTAATAATTTGTTTTCAAGTCAAGTTCCTTGGAACTGTCAATATGTTTCTGAACATAGAACAGGCAGAAGAGGAATTTCAAAATTTGCTTTATCGTGTGGAACCGAAGAGCGTAGCGGAATTTCTTAGTTGGATCAATGAAAGCTTTGTGGTGTCGGATGGCAAATGTACACCTAGCTCTTTTTTTTTACTTTTTTTCATTTATGCTGTTTTTAAATATTTAAATCTTTGGAAAATTACTTGTTCAGAAATTTTGCACATAAAATTACTCGATATAGTTGTGTTCCTTATGTCCAAAACCTTTTAGATCATCCGGGCAACGGCAGTATTGAATTTGATGGAAGGAGCGAACCCACTTCAGAATGCGACGTTTTGTTACGAAAGATAGCAATGGATATTAGAAGCGAAGTATTGTGTTCATGAAATCTTTTTCCATTTTTTTTTAAAATGCGAATTTAACGTTTTCCTGTATTATGAATTTAGCATTTGAAGTGTTAAAATGTTTCATCTTATAGGAAATAGATTTTGGGTTTTTTCCTACAGATGAAACTTTAAAAAAGGTCCTACTCTTAGCTAATTAACTTGATTTATTATGTCTCATATGGATTATGAAGTGTGAGATTTGAAATCTTTCTTTATTTTTCAGTAAGTTGTGTATTTTTTCAGTAAGTTTGGCATCTGAAAAAATTTTTTTCTCGTTTTCTTTTAATAGTGGAGTGTCCAAATAGATATCATCACTAAAATAAGAAATGGTTAAGAAAAAATAAAAATGATTTCTAACTTCATTTTTCTTGGTGCTTCTGGCAGGGAGAAGTTAAAAGTATTCCATTCAATATTCCACAGTGTGCGTTTTTATATTCTTAACTCTGAGCTTCGAATATAATTTTTTTCAGTTACCAATGACAGCGATATTACCTTCTGAAACAATGTATTGGCCACAGACTGGCTTAGATTCCGATTGTAATCGCGATACTACGGTAAGCTTATTTACATGTTCTGGAAAAAAATTTTAATAAAATATGTATTTATATTCTGCCAAATGCCAAATACTTATTGTAGTAGTTTCGTGATAGTTTTGGGACATATATAGGTACATGTCGATGCTTTTTTATACGATGATGATGATGTGGATGAATTGGTGGATCAGGGTGCACTTAGTCGAGAGTACTGTGCGCAGTGTGGTTGCAGGGAAATCATGTCTCTAACATTTATTTCACATTCGTTGAGTATTGATCAGGTACCACCTATTAACTTGAAATTTCGTATTACTGCTGTGTATTTCTATTATTCTCTAGGGCGTAAAACTTCTATACTTTTGACCTCTGTTATATAGTCAAATAATTCAAATATATAGAATTTACTCTAACTATTATTCATTATTAATGTTATCGGTTTATGTGGAATTTTATATGTAAAATTTTTATGCATAAAGCAACTGGCGTACAAAAATGAAAGATGTCCTTAGCACTAACCTACGCAAAAAATTGATGAAAACCATTGAAATTTTGATGAAGCAAGAATCTAACAAAAAAAAGTTTGGAGAAATAATTATTTGTATAATTTACAGCTGCGATATGCATTCACTGTACTAGTTCCTTTAACCGAGAATATGAAAGGTACGTTAATTGTTGACATTGGCTCGAGATTGGGCGCTGTATTATATGCTGTTTATAGTTACGGGTTTGTTTTTTGTAGCAATGATAAGTTTTTAATGTAAGATTTTTATAAAAGAACTACATGCTTTATTTAATTTCTTTATTTCTTTAGTTCTTCCAGTATCATTTTGAACGCAGTTAAGTTTCAAAGGTTCTATTTTTGGATGAATTTATGTACTTTCAGTAGTGGGCTGGTGAATGCTATTGGTATTGAAATGAATAAAGATTTTTGTGAACTGCAGAAAAAAGTAATTGAAATTAATGGGATGGATGCAAACGTCAAAGTGAGCACTTAAAGAAATAAATTTTTATAATGCTGATTTTTGCTCAATTTCAAGATCAAAAGAAAAAATTTTTTTCTTCAAATTTGATTCCTCAGTGATGGCTTTTATATCTGATTGTCGTTCATCCATTCGCCGTGTCATGGTACTGAAATGCAGAATAGGTCTTATTGTATAGATTTATAACACTACTAATTAAACAATGGTTTTTTATCTTGGTAAAGAATCAAATTAGTGAATTATTTGCACAGTTTTTATTATGCTTATTTGCTAACTCTTATTTGCTTATTTGCTAAAAGGGAAAATAAGTAGTAGTATTTTAATTCTTCTCGTAGAACAAAAGGAGAAGTCTTATATAATTATTTATTTTGAATCTGCATGAAAAAAAAATTTTCTTAAATTCTTTTTGTGGACTGTATCTCTTGATCCTATAATTAGACCATTACACAAATAGAAGTAGCGAAATTTAATTCGTATATCCTTTGCTTGAATTTTTGATGTTTTATTTTAGGTTATCAATGACGATGTTCGAAAACAAGCTGAAGTTGTTGGTGCTGCTGATGTTATTGTGTTACACAATGTATTTTCATTCTTTCTTCCCCTCGCTGATCAAGTAAATAGTCTCTGTAATCTTAAAATATTTTTCTTATTCATAGATTATGGAAATACTTTTTTTTTATAATTTTAAATAATTTTTATTTTCATACTTAATTTTTATTTTCATATTTACTCCTTATATGTTATTAGTTTCTTGTAGTTGGCGTAAAATAGGCAGTAGATTGTGCGTTTGGAAATTAAAATTCGGCATATATCGAACTGTTCTATGCAGACATTCGTTTTTATTATGCTCATATTTTTGAAGATTTCTGAATTTGTAGACAGAATGTTGGGAATTTCTGTACAAATCCGTACGTCCTAGTGCTGCAATCATATCAAATCCTGCTGTTGAAGCAGTCACTGACCATTTAATCCTTTCGTTCCGCATATCCGATTGGCTTGAAAAAGTAAGTGTATTTTTGCATGAATTCGATGCATGTTCATCTATCAACTTTATTTTAATTTTCTTCAAAATCAGATAGATTCTATTATTATTGGCGTAAAAAACTGCAATTTATTTCTCTAATCAATGAAATTATAGTCATCCGGATTTTTTATTCACTTTTTTTATTATTTACGTTTCTGTTAAACCTAAAATTACTTGAAAAATAGTTTTGGAGACTTTAAAAGCATTCTATTAGAAACAAGTTAGAATGAAATTGTCTGCAAAATATTATGAAAACGGTCCACGCACAATCAACTTATTACAGTTACAACAGTGCTCAGATAATTAATCATTGTTTTGATCTCGGTAATCGCATTACATTAGTAATCATCAGTAATATTGGCAATAGAAATAATTATCAATGATAACGTTAATGATATCATAACGGAGGAGATGAATAGATGATCTCGTGGAAATTATCTAAATGAGAGTTGTTATGCTTCAGGTCTTACTTTATCTTTTTTTTGATTTGAAATCAAATTTTGAAAAATCTCGATCCCGGACATTTAGTGGCGGAAATATCGGCATTAGTAATAATGATGTCTTCACTTTTCTGTTGCTTTCCTTTTTTCTTTTGTCACTCTTTTTTCCTTTTTTCTTATTGTCACTCTTTTTTGTTTTTTCATCTTCACTTTTCTTAGAGCCAAAAATCTCATCTTAAGAATTTATGAACAAGAATGGTTGTTCGAATAGATTAAGAAAATAAGACATATAATATCGTAAAAGAGAGAACAAAAATATCACTAATGATTATGGAGATTTATTACCGCAACGAAGAGGCAAGAGGAGCGTCATTAAATTCAAGTTTTAATAATGATCCGATATCGTTCAACCGTCATATCGCAGATTAAGCCAGACTCAAAAGGATGTAACTTTCCATGAGAAATGTTGTTTTGATTTACTAGTAAGATTATTCCCTTAGAAATAAGATGCACTTAGTGTTTCTGTTCAAAATAAGTAAGTAGAAACGCTTTCTTTAAACTATCAGCATATCGCATCCAATGATGTTGTCTCAAATTGAGATTTTCAGGTAGTTATTATTAGAGTTATCAGGAACTGTCAGTATTTTTGGTGAAAATCATGAACAATTTTGAGATTTTTTCGAAAATTTTGAAATGCAAGGAGCCGAATTTTCCGCAAAGTTAGGGAGAGACGCGAGACACCGTGGAATGGAGAGTTGAGGGAAGTATTACAAATGATATCGAAATCCGAAGTACGAATCTGAAAGCACTTTAATTTCAGTAAATTAATTGTAGTTCGTCCTTTTGAAAGACAAATAAACAGAGTGATCCCATTTAGAATTTAGATTTGGACAGGTACTAATCATGGTGAAAACTTGCTATATGTTAAATTACTCTTATGAGTCTGTTTCTTGATTATAAATAAGCGTTCCATATCTTCATAAATTTATTGATAGAAATTAAAAATTCAGTAAAACAAGTTTCTTCAATTTATTTTATGTATCTTGTTCACTACATCCTTCATTATCTCTGTCTTTTTTTTGTTCTGCCACTTGTTTACCAAAAAAATCTTTTTACCTTTCCAAAGTAGTACACATGTTTGTTTTTATGAAATTGCAAGTGGAGTGGCAGTGAAATTGTCACTGTTACTGTTGAGTAAAGTTATATTTTAATTTTCGAATTTTTTTGTCCAATTAAAGGATTCATCAATCTAATTTATTTTCAATTTATTCATCAACCAATAAGACGAAATCAACTAATGAATTAGTAATAAAGAGGATATTTTATAATAGTTTCGAAATTAAGGAATGGAAATTTAGTGAAACCGAATTGAAACTGAGATACAGTATTTGAATAGAAAATGAGGTGAACTTACCTTAAAGTAACTTGAAATGAAATTAAATTACAGATTGAAACTGATCATTTGGCTGCACGATACGCGGGCGTTGATCAAGATTTGTTTAATGACTGTGTCAAGTTGACACTTTATAAAGTGAAGCATCGAAATGCGCTACAGTAACGGAATAGGGGACGAGATATCTTGTAACGATGAAGAAAACTAACTCTCGGACACTTTAGATCAGTTGTCATGTTAATTTTTATTTGTGAGAATAATTAGTAAAATTTATTCATTTGATAGGTCCATTTTTAATCTTATCCAGTATGGTCAAATATACAAAATCAATAAGCAATCAGTAACTTTATCGTTTTAACATTTCTAGCAGTACTAATTGTCTTGTCGTGAATAAAAAATTTTTTGTTAGCATTGAAATATTTGAAATGCAAAATGAAGTCTAACATCTCTTGATCTCCATCAAGTTTACATACCTTTCGTTCAAATCATTGGCGACAATTTTTTGATATAGTTACAGGTATTTAATTTTTTCTTGGATATTCACTGCTGGATAGAATTGAAAAAATGTGAAATTTTGTTGTCCCTGAACTTCCTGAACTAAATCAAATCGAAAATTGTCGGTACCGCTCTCAAATTTAAAGATCCTGAATGGAGTGTATAGTTCATTTGCATTATTTAGAAATTCTGTCTGCCTATGTACAAAATATGTGCCGAAATTCCTCATCGATATTAATGAAATTAAATGAAGATGCTTTGCTATTCCGATTCTTTAATTGCTTTTGAAGATGTATATCCTCAATATACATTTTAATAATGATTTTGTACAAAACAGATTACTACAGCAATTTGAAAATAACGATTCAATATTCTTTTCAAACCTATTTCCCCTTCAACTATTATCTTTCGCATTTATATTACTAATTTTTCGTTTATATTACTAATTTTTTTTTGTTTGTCCTACAAATTTGTTCATCTATTTATTTTTTCAACAGTTTATGCTATGTCATCTGATACATTTTATGATGAGAAGGATCACAAATACCACTTATGAACCTCCCTTTCCTAATATTTTTCTAGAATTAGTGGCTTTTAGATGGAATTAACTGATCTCAGTTCTCTAACAATTATAATTGGTTGAGACGATTTTTGCATATCCATTTATTCAACGGGTAAAAGTTTTAACAATTCTTTAAAACTTTTAAAAAACACGACAATAAAAGGGAAATGGGGAAATTTCACAAGAAGCTTAATTGAGCAGTTAAATTTAATCAAGGAAAACATGGTCCACTAGTAATTAGATAGCTAAACAAATGTCCACATTCCTCGCTGGCCAATTCCCATCGATCGTCTTCCCTCAGTACGTAATGCATCCTTCAAAAGGTCTCGATATTTATAGATCTTATCAACAAAAACAAGATTTAAAAACTGGGATTGTTTAACAAACAATAAAACGATATGACAAATGGGTACCTAGTATTAAAGTCCACCACAATTCCATTAATGTTGCCACTAAAATAGTACACTTCTCCAATTTTAGGTTCCGCACAGCGAATATTACATGTTCTCAACCATACCTCAATTCGATCTGGAAAATGGCTGTACAAATTGATCTTTTTTTATTTAGGACAAGTTTTGCATGATTTCGTGTTTTATGTATAATTCAATGAATTTGATATTCTTTCTTTAACGTTCTTAAACTCATAATGAAGTCTAGATATGAAATTCAATAAAAATTTTTACATTTTACACTCTATTTTTTTTATTCTTTATATATTAAATAGGCAAACAAATCTAAAATTTTGGTGAATAAATTGCGCAACAGTTTGCATTTATCTAACGAACAGTGAGAAATATCCTTAAAACCTACGGAAAAAGGTTAAAGAAAAATTAAAACCTCACCGTTTTTTTAAAGCATTTTAAAAAGAAATTCCCTTCAGCATATATAAATCAGACTCAAACAATATTACCAGGTTTATGCAATGTTGTCTTCATATTTTGCTTCCAATGCTTTAGCGACACCTCGATGATGAAATACCCCGAATCACTCAGGTTTTCAGTTCGATAGCTTTCTACTTCTACTGTTGCTCCTGCAAACAATTAATTTTCAGATTCTAAGTTTGTCAGTTCGAACTATCTGCTCATTCAATTATGACATACACCAAAAAATAGGTAAAAAGTTTGCTTTTAAAAAAATTAGACAAACCAAACATGTTTTCTGAGCATAATTCATGTTGCAAATGCTTTTTTGTAATACTTCGACATTGTGAGCATCGAACTGTACAGCCCGCCTCGGCACATGAACAGCTCCCATCCCAACATACCATATCGATGGTTTCCTCTAGCAGTGACCGTTTGAATCTTTCCGTATAAATAATTAATTCTTGACCGGCTATGTCTGTAAACTCTTAAATTAATCATTTTATTTTCTGTAAAACATCCTATTGCTCTGACACATTTTATGATTAATAGAATTATGAAACCACTTTTTATCAAAATGTAAGGTATCCTAAAAGTTTCGCAAATATCTTAAGCCTAGAAAAGTGAAATGCAACGATATGCAAACAAATCAAGCCAGTTGTATATGGAATCGTTTTTTAATGAATAATTACTTGAAAGAGCTAATGCTAACCATAAAGAGGATGCCGAACGGTAACTGCAACAGGGGCCAATTGATTTGGCTCATATGTGTTTCTTGGTTCCATTATCTTTAATTCATAACAAAGCGGAATTTTCGGTTTCAGCTAGAATCAAAGAAATTTTGGTAAATTATGAAAATTTTAAAGTGTTGCTGAATCTTTCGCATATTCAATGAGAAGAAACTGAAAAATATTGCAAAAGAATGAAAAAGTTTACATTCATGAGAACAAAGTGTACGGCGTAATTGCTAATTGTAATATTATCCAAGAGACGTACTCCGTGTACTGTTGTATTCTGCAATCAATCAATAGAAAAATTAGACTTCTGAATTTAATCTTTTTTCGAGATTTTTTATAGCATCTGAATTTTCGGTTTCAATTTCTATTTCTCAGGCTTTATAGCCGACTGGTGAATTGACAATTTAAATTTTATTATGCCGTTAATCCCAGCAAACCAATAAATAACTCTAATGAGAAATTGATTTCTTTGCAATCAAGTATACTTTCAATTGAAAATCGTCCAAGTTATGATGCTTACCTGAAGAATCCGGAACAAACTATTATCAGAAGTGAAACCGGTAAAAAGACCGTGAGTTACTTCCAATGCTTCAATCAATGATGTTAGAATCCTGAAACCAATTATACCTGATTTTTTCTTATTAACTATCCTACCAAAATAAAAAAAATTAGTGATGCAATTTATACTTTTCTCAGTATCAAAACTCTCTTTCTACAACAACGCCCTGATACCAATGAATTTCTTAAAATCTGAAACCAATATCTGAAATCGGTTCCTCAATTTAGACAACTTACTTTACACAAACTTGTTGTCGAATGATTCCCAGACTAACTACCTGTTGTACCACGGTGATTTTGGTGGGATACAAATCATTCTGCTCTAAACCACGACGCAATCGCATTCTTTTTGTAGTTGTAACACGGATTCTTGTCCGAACTTTTGCATCTCCTTCCGTTACCAATGTTATATTACGCACTGCTACTGGCAACTATACAATTTTACTCATTAACTATATTTCAATCTCACAAATTTGCCTAACAGTTTATAAATAATTGATTGATAATAAGACATAATGATTGTAAAAAAGTAGATATAATAAAGTATTATTTAGATAACATATATGACCATAAAAATAAAAAATTGAACTTTTCTCTCATCCCTTTTATCTAATTCAGTGATATGTTTAAAGAGAATAATAATTTTTATCTAAAGCTGATCGATAAATGTAGATTGACATCTTTATAAATTTTGAAGAATTGTTTATGAGAAATTAAAAATTAAAAAATAAGAAATTAAAAAAACACTTTTAAAGCAAGAGTAAAAAACGATGCTTAAAATACATGAATAGTTCAAATTAAAATGATAAGAATAAAGAAAAAAAATTATAACGTAATTAATTTATAAATGTTAATATTATGTTGCGAAAATATTCCAAAACAGTAATAATATAACGAGTGCACAATGCATAAATGGAAATAACAAATATTTTATTGTGCTTACATAAAAAAGAGTCGGTGTATTCGTTACATTGTGCACAATCATTTTGCACTGTTCACAAATAACCGTTACTCGATCATCATTATTATCACTTCCATTCGTTTTATGTATTCGATATTCGTAAATTGCACGATTTGCAAAGTATGCATCCTGAAATTGTTTTTACCTGAAATTTGACGGCATAGAAAAGGATAAATTTATTGTGTCATCCTCTTACTTTGGTACTAAATTAAGAATGCAAACCAATGCAGAAGGAGTTTGTCCGTTCTCGTTTAGTTGTTCGTAGATCCAGTCAGCTAACAAATCGAGTTCAATTAATGGAAACATTGGGTCCACTCTACGACTCACAAATGCCAATAAACCCAACGAATTGATTAGTAAATCATCACTCTCAAAATACAAAAAAAAAGATTCAATAAATTAAAACTTCAGCTCTATTCAAAATCTCCAATGTGGCTAAAATTCCATAACATCCTAAAAACTCAAATCTTGAGCAAATATTACTCTTCTCAACATGCTTCTGTCTTACTACGACTATATATTTTATTTCTATAACGTTCTAACTAAATTTTAAAATCATCCGAATTTTTACATTTTAAATTTTAAACACTAGAAAATAATGCAGTATCTTATTAAATTACTTTTTACAATTTAAAAAACTTCAAAGAGAAATCCAAATCATATGAAACATTATTCGGGGATTTTTCACTTACGAAAATAATGAATAGTGAATAACCATGAAAATTGAATATTTCATATCATCATTGAACTTCGATCGAAGTTTTGCCAGCACTGAGCCACTGCTTGATATTCTTCCACTTTTCCAGTACGGAAGCATGCCATCTACATGGTACACGTTGAACATGTTGGAAACTTTTTAACTTCAAAAAAAAAAAAAAACTAATTTTCATTCATAGTAATCAGTTAGGATAAAAGAAATTTAAACTTCTGTGGATTCATGTTACGAATTATGTATTTATCTTACTATGTGATACGTTAGTTTCTCGAAAAAATCCACCGAGTTCTCCTAACTTTCTCGATCATTTATCGATTATGATAGCTGCATGAAATGTAATATAATGATATAAGAAAACCTTTGGCAGCAGAATAGAGTTTAATTCGCATGATATTGCTCACAGATCGTGGTGCCATGAATGCTAATGCAGCGACAGTACGTGTATCCAATGCGGCATTATCTGGCAGATTGAAGAAACTCTTCCGCAAACTAATCCAAACCCGATCATTACGCTGTAAGCATGGATTTAGCCGATTTTTACTGTTAATTTTATTCTGAGTTTACTAAACACTGAATTATTTCCTTAAAAAATGAATGTAACAAAAATGAAGGATTATAAAATCTGTTTACCGCACACTGATATGCAACACAATCGGAAGCCAATTGATTTATCATTGCTTTAACAAACCAATACCTATCTTCCACCGATGTCTAAAATAAAATTACAAAAAAGTGAAAGTGAAAGTTTTACCTTAGCAAATCATATTAAAAGAAGTGAATAAAGATGAAAAGAAATTAAAATAAGTTGACTTCGATTTCGAAATTAAAAAGAAGCCGACAATCAATGATTTGGCAAGAGGAGAATAAATGAGTGAATTATAAGTAGCTTACAAAATCCATATGATCCAGAAAATGGTCCACCGTAGGTTGAACATCCATATCTGTGGCAATTTCATTCAAGAGATAACTGAGCAATGGACAGATAATTCGCTCATCAACAGCGGCTTCACAAAGCAATGATGTGGATAGCGCCGTCAAGCTAAACTGTGATAATTTTTATATCACAAGTATCATCGGAAAAATGATCAAGTTTTATATCAATCCAGAAAGATACATACAAGAATGATTCATCGTGAGATTGTTTTGGCTTTCGATAATTGGAAAAAGCGCATGATCGAGAAGTTATACCATGACAACTGGAGAATGTCAACATCGCAGACATTACTGGAATTCAGAGAGCACCATCGGCTTAAATGATTGGTTTAGAAAACTGTATGTGTGTGTGTGTGTGTGTGTGTGTGTGTCTGCGTGTGTGTGTGTGTGTGTGTGTGTGTTTGTATCTGACTAAAACTAATCTACTGAAGACTAATAATTTCTATCTTCTTAATTTCTAGTAACTTCTAGTTGAGCAAATGAAACATTAATAATCGTACTAATTATTCATTTAACGTAACCTCTATCATGCATTTCTTCTTAGTTCATATTTGAAGTACCGCATATAGCAGTAGCTTTTAAAAATTAGTGTTTAACTTTGTTGAAAACTGAATAACCTACATGACCCAATAGTATCGTCTAAAGATTCAAATTCTCGATAAGTGATTTTGTCAAGAGGATTTAATGATTTGAATTGATATAATGTTGGAGCAAATGAGCTAATAATATCAGTAAGGAATGATTCGTAACCCAAAACACTTCTTTTCCAACGATAATTCGACCGTGAACTCATTTCATTTTGTATCATCGGTTCCGTTATTAGTCCATCTGATAGGAATTCTAAAAAAAAGAAAACAAAATTTCAGAAGTGAAATTAGAAAATACTGAAACTTGTTAATAATCGGAAAAAAACAAACGAGAAAAGTCAACAGTAATGCTATAGATTGATTCAGTGTCGGGTAAATTGATGCTGATATTAGTAAATAATTTCTGAGGTTTCTGTTCTGATCGATATTCATTATAATCTGAAATCCACAATTAACCAAAACTGAATATTCACATAATAGAATGTGACTTTTTAAGGCGTACATTAAAACAAGGAAAAGAAATTATATTCATTCACCCGAATCGAGCTGATAAAATTTAAACAATGATATTTCAAGAACTAATGATCCTCTTCTTTCTCTTCTCTCTTTCTCTCTCTCTCTCAATTTAGATCACTTAGATGGATCTGATCCTCACGTAAATAATAGAATCGTTTCTTGCTTACCAATGACATTTTTCTTTCCATTTTCTGTTTCATTCTCCATTATCAAATAATGCATATTAGCAGTATGCGTTAAAAGATTAAATGGTTTACGTGGATTCAATACCAATCGCTTAAAATGTTCCGCCGTTTCCGCCCTCTTCTGCAAATACTAATCTATTCATTTACCTGTGCTATGATGAATATTCAAAAGATATACAGATAAAATTAATTGTTGATGGGTTTATAGAAAAATGAAATGCAAATCCTCCTTGCTTAATGTTAATTTACAATTAACTTACAGCAACGATAACTTTTAATTTGACAGCATCATATATCTCCCCTACATCACAGTGATACTGTCCTGGATATGATATTTCCTCTTTCAATATGAACATAATTTCTGTTTCTCCAAGACGTAAAAATCTGTAAAATTTGAACTGTTATAAAAACAGAAAGATTAATTGTGTCAACATAAATAAGCAAAAAATAAACGGATGAATGATTAAATTATTATTTAACTTATCAGTGAGTCAAAATAAAAAACAAAATGTTGAAATAGAACGCGAAAGATTATGGGAAAAACCTAAGAGCGAATAATCTAGCAGAAGTGGTAATTGCTGTCGTAAGATGAATTCGAGTATATGCCGGTTGGCCTCGTTCACCATGTGCACCCACATCACCGCATACATGTCGATCCAATTTTGTCATACATATTGAAAGCTTCAAAATACTTTATATTATTTGAAAATATAACTATTCTTGAAGCAATACGCTATGTAAGTAACTGTAATATTCTAATTCATAATATATTTAAATTTCAATTGTAAGTTTTGAAATTGTGCAAGTCTTTTGTTTTTCTTCTTTCTTAAAGGTTACCGTCATATTCTCTTCTATTTGTTCAGCAAAAACTGAAACTCGTGCAGTAACGGATTCATTGATATAAACATGTTGTGGAAGATCGACTGTCATGAACAGTTTTTGCTGAGTAGTTATAATGGATGGAGCACTGCGACAAACTGCAAGATCACCTGGTGTCCATGCTGAAGACTGGACAGACCACTGAGTTACCGTGTCTGGCACTTGAACTGTTAGATTCAGTTTACCCGAGGCCCTAAATGCAGAATAAAAAAACTAATACTGAATTTTAAATGGTTGTTGTGCGTTCAACTAAGTGAAGCATTTCAAAATTGAATAAGAGTACAATTGAGATGAATTTCTAGCATTTCAAATCCAAAAATGGTTTTGTTAGAATGATAAAAGAAGACCATAAAGTAAAACTTCTTTCAGAAAAAAGAAATTTAAGAATCCAAATTTTCTTGAAAAAAACTCATCCACTCGGATAGCATTTATTTATAAAAATATTTTTTTAATGAAGTTTTCAAATGTAAAACACTTGTGTTATTTGATTATCAAATACTTTTCTACAATTCAAAGCAAGGCAGCTGATAATTTTTTAATTTAGAAAATTCGTAATAAGAAGAAAAGAATCGCAAACCCAAGATTGTAGTCTTCGAAAAGCCAAACTTCGGGAAAATACTGTCGAACTACAGTAATCAAGTCAGCTTCCCTTCGGAATAAAGTAGGAGCGGTATCGTCAAGTGATGTTTGATTACGTTTCAGGAAATTTATGTTTATCAAATGCATTCGTGCAGAAGCTAATTTCACTGCACCACCATTTCTATCAACACCACAGCCATGTCCAGTTTTCCGATCGCACACCTTACTTGTAGCTAAAACGATCCTCTTAATTGAATAAATTTATTTTTACACAGCAAACTGTAGTTTTTTTCTTATATGCTTTCTGTCTTCCACATACAGATCTAACGTTGTTAAAGCAGTAACTTTTCACTCAATAATTTATAAAAAATATATTTGAAGTTAAAATATGTTCAATTAAGACAAGAGATGATAAGAATGTAAATCATAATTCATCAATCAGTCACTCGATACAATTTATGAATAAAAAATTTAATTAATTTAATTTCTAAAAAAAATTTTTTCAACAGGTTGGTATTCATCTTGTTTCATGTTTCAGAATACTCTGAAATATGAAACAAGAAGAATACCAACTTGTTAGGCCTGTTAGGCGTTCACACCCCAAAATGAAGGAACGCAAGCAAAGATTTGAAATGGCTGATGACGATTCCATAAAATTTGGACAATGTTTCAAGTGCTGTAACATGAGGACACCAGCTTCTTCACATATTCCACCTGCAATATTTCCTATCATTTCTATGCCTGGACAAAAAACTACATTGCATCTTGTACAAATTTTAATTTAAAATTTTAAAAATTGATTTAAGATTAAGAAGTTTGAGATTATTTTATTAACCAAAAATGCTCCATCTAATTTGTTATCCACATTTCACCATGAAAGATATGCTATAAGTATGATTGAATTTCGAAAGCACTTTGAATTTTTACCAATTTCGTTATTCAGATTTTTGGAGTCAACGAGGCCAAGAAATAGTGTTCGTAAAGAGCGCTCGGTCACTGATAAATCCCAATATTTGGATGTTGGATGTGATGAATATTTCTGCAACAATGAATATTTTTATTGGTTAAAAAATTTTTCAACATTTATTGAATTTTAGTGAAATTTGATAGAATAACCTGCATAAGTTCAACCATTCGTATGTCGATCGCTGATAATAAGACGAGACTATTGGAACCACCATTTATTGTTACCGTCAAATTATCACTTACTCCAATTAGTGTTTTGGAAACCATTAATGAATTCTAAAAAATGAAGGTAAGGATGAAAAGATGGAAAGCTAGTTAATCCCAAGAAGAAGAAGGCTTATGTAAGCCAAATTAAAGAAAAAAGGATGAATTGTGAAATTTCGTCATTTCAAAAACTTCTTTCTCGCAAAAGTTCAAATACAACGCTAAACTATGTGAGATAGAAAAATTTCTTCATAATTCTTTCCAGACAACAAACCTTGCAAGATAGTTCAACAAAGAAGAGAATCATATCTATTTGTATCGTTCCATTTGCGCTAAATACGTACAGTGTGCAATATGGTACCATGAAGTCTGTTATTTCAAATATTATTTCACCATCATCACGAACACGACCAGCTTCTGTAATCGTTTCATCCTGGCACACAACCTTAATTTGTAAGCGCTTTAGACTCTTATTTAATGTAGCTTTTTTGTGATATTAAGTTTCAACAATTTGTTATGCATGATAATCATTTGTATCATGAATTGCTTTTTCTTGTGTTTCATAAACAGATGCAAATTAACCAAACAATCGAGAATACCAGATTCAAGCATTAAAAACTTCTATAGGATTATGAATTGAACGGAAAAGATTAAATAAGTGGAGCTAGCAGATAGAACTGATATTCTCCCAATCCATTAGTACCGGTGTAAATTGTAAATTCAAACCAAATAATTCAATTTTAATGCCAAATTCAATGGCACTGAAGTTCGAAATTTTTCTCCAACTCGATATGTTGCATTATTGGGAGGTGACCATTGGATCCAACCATGTAGTATCCATTCTAAATGATCCACAGATGGTAGCACCAAAATGACGGGACGCGAGAATCGTTCACCAATTTTACGGCGACCCTAAATGGATCAAATTTTAATTGATGCATTATGCGGTAGAAAGCTTATATATATAATGAAAATAAAGTTAATAAGAAATATATTTTGAAATATTTTGCGCAAAAAAAGGAATAAATAAATCATATGAAAGGAAGCGCTTTTGTCCAACAATAATCTTCGTCCTCATTCTGAGGGGAAGATTGTTATAATTACAATATTATTGGAATGGTTAGAAGGAATCTGTCTGTAGTTGAATATCAGATAAATATTTAAGATTTAAAGTAATTTTCTCAAAATGATGAAGTAGAAGATATGGGAGAATACAGGCGAGAAAAAATTATATAACTTTGTCTTGGCTTAAAGTTTTTCCATTTCCACGAAAAATATACACTTTTAAACATTTTGATTAAATATTCTAAAATAAACGTTCTCTTTTTTAAATTAACTAATTAATATTCATCCATTTTTGATTCATGTTGAAGTTCAACTAAAACGGATTTTTTTACTCCTACCTGAAGAAAAGAGAAGAGATAACCTGCATAAACATTACTCGACAGGTGTGTTCATATAAAGTGGATGAAAATGGTATTGATAGAAGAAATCCAATTCTTCCCTTATAGCTTTTCAAGCTAACAGTTTGCTTTCTATCTGTGGAAATACATCGAACGTTAATTTCCACTTCGTCCGTTCTCATCAAAGGTCCATTCATCGATTTTATCTGTAACATTATTTTTCAAACTTTATTAACAGTAAAAAAACAGTATGCTTTTCATATCAAAAGTTTTTTATTTCAATTTCTCATGGCTTATAACAACCGTTAAAGGGCATTTTCAATGTTTCAAAATTATTTTTGAAGTTTTAATCAATCAAAGAATATTGGATTAATTTAATTTAATAATAATAGTTCTGACTAGTCATTGCATGATCACTTTGATCCTTATTGATTATTTCTTTTCCTACAAAAAATGAGATTAATCAAATATAACAAATGTCTGTCGGAACAAAAATTCATTCGATATTTATATCTGCCTTAAGAGCTCACCAATATTGATATATTTGAAGAATCACGATAATATCCCGGTCTTAAAGGAATAAGTTCAAAGCCTGCCAAACTACTATCAATTTCCATATTAGTTCTAACTCGACTGCCCGTTCCTTGATCTAATACTTCTGCTGTAAGCTTAGCTAAATTTCTTGACGGAACAGTCACAGCGCTTCCACGACATTGAACAATGCTTATGCGATCAGACCAGTGACCTGAATCTATCTGAAAATTTGAATTTTAAATTCAAATTTAATTTTAGTGCAATCGGCGTGAATAAATATATGAAATATATGAAAAATATATGAGTCTGGAAAAATATATGAATCTGATATAGTGAACATTTGTATGCAACATGTAAATTAACGCTGAGATAAAACTAAGAAAATAATAAAATTAATTTTTTCCTTATTCAGATTAATCATTGATTTTCAAAAGAATGAATGTTACTAAAAAAGGAATTGTTACCTTTTGGATATTAATCACACATAGGTAAAAGAATTATAAATTGTTTTTTTTTTTAATCATTTAGAAATAACGATGACTGTAACGATACTAATGAAAGCAATCTGATTCAGTATTAATTTTAGTTCCACAAGAAAAATGGAAATTAAGAGTTAAAAAGACCAGCAGCGCTTTTCTAATAGGTCTTTTATCTTGAAAATTAATCACCGTAACAGTGATTCAATTCATTTTACACCAGTATTTAATAAATTTTCACAGCTCACAACAAGCATTTTCTCGTACCTTCTCAAACAAAAATAAAGTATCACTCGAATATTTCAATTATTATTCTGTAAAGAGACAAACAGTCATATGAGGCTAATTTTTCATTTTGAACGTTCAACTAAATGTTTATTTACTTTTATTAGACAGCAGTTTTCAATCGAAAATAAAATTTGTTTATATTTTATGCTTAGCCCAGGCCTAAACAGCTTTATAAGAAAAATATGACAAATACCAAAAAAAATAAAGAACTGTAAATTAAGGAAAAAAATAAAGTGAGAAAGTGAATTCAAATCGAATTATATTCCTTATTAATTCATCATATTTTTATAAACTTTTCCATTAAAAGTCACGGAAACGATATAAGGACGACGTTGAAAGTTGAAAGTGTAATCGGTCAACTTATTTAATTCAATTTATTTTTGACAATAACATCTAGCAGTTATCCATAATGCAAATATTATAAGTATTTCATAGATATATTTTAAAAAAGATTATTATGGTCGTCTTTCAACATTGCATTATCGATTTGATCATATCAAAGGGCATTAGTTATAAAATGCTATCACAGTGAATAGAATTACCAACGCTGAGCTCTGACTCTTTCAAAAAAACAATTAAAATATTTGAAATTTCCACATTTATCTAATATCTCCTCCTGGTATGATTGTAGCTAAAGTGAAAAGTAAAATAATGAGAAAAACCATTTTAAGCTAAAAAAGATTAAAAAGTGTTTCTAATCAAAATTTTTTTGAGAAATTAGATCAAATATTTAGATTCAAATGAGATTCATAAAATATGGCTGGAAAATATTTATGCATTTTTCATGAAGCAACTTAGAAAAAACAAATGTAAATTAACAAGTTTTTCTTAACTTTTCTTTCAGATTAAATGCTTTTTGCGTTTAATTTTCCATTTGACGAAATGTTTCCTTCTTATTGAAAAAAAAAAAATGAAATATATAGCAATAGTAATGTAAATAATAATGATAGTATGAAAAATATCCAATTATGTATTCGGACATGCTTCCTATAAATTCTACAAATTGCTCAAATTTTCATCGAAATGTCGCAGGCAAATGGATGAAATTAATGGTAAATATTCCTTTCCCGAAAAAAAAATAACATTGTTCAAAATTGAAATTCTATTTTCTATAATGGGGGCCTAACTGTGATTGGATGGTGCCGTTAGCATCAGTACTATCTCCTACATTGCTACATAACTTTGTTTGGTCAGCAATCGCATCCGTGTCAAATCCTGATTTAGCATCAAATCCACTTCCTACTCTTTCTGCATCTTTTCGGAATCTTCTTTCTTGTTGCTGTTTCGGTATTGCTACCAAAGGATAATATGATGACATATATAAATGTTCATAGCATTCTCGTTCATACTGTGCTATTGCTGCAAAACCATTTTCATCGTCCATTTTCATACTTGCCAGATAGCGATTAATAATACGTTGTTGGATGGGAATTTGCTCTGTTGTGGATAAACTCCTACAATCCATATTCCTAACATTAATCGGACAGACAAATCGAGAATAAAAATTATTTTAAGATTTGAGAATTATGGAATGATAGGACGTATGTAGCAATTGCAGGCATCCACTGTCACTTTTTCTTTAAAAAAAAAAAAAAAAAACTTCCTTGAAATTTGGCTCTTTCTTGCGGTCATATACCTTCGGGATACCTTTTAAAATATTACAAACTTTCTCACAACTATAGAATAAAAACTTCTAGTATTCAAACAATAACTATTTAGAGATCATATTTCTGTAAATGAAGCTATTGAAAAGAGGAATGCAAAAAATGATGAGTTTCCAGGTGGAATTTCGAATTTCAAAATGATCCACTTGATATATGATAATATTAATTACACTACTTAAATGCCATTTTTCACAGCTATTCTTATACTACCTGAGGCTTTATTTATTATGCAAATATTTAAGCGTTGATGAAGCTATAAATTAATTAATAGAACTTCATATCCTCAAGTCATATGCTATACTGAAGTCCCATTTTTAGAAAATTTGTCAACAATTTGTCTAATGAATGTGATACTGTCGAAATGAAGCTTAACATTTGTTTTCTTAAAACAGATATTAATTTTAATCATACTCAGGATAAAAATATATTTTATTCAAATCTTTTGATAAGAAACTCATCGTGCCGTAGATATTACCTATATCTTATCCAATTTTATCAGTTCCGATTCAAATATTGATAAAAGGCTTAATTTACATTCTGAAGAGATTCACGGATTTCAGCTCCGTTTTCTATCATAACATATTTATGTCATTTAAGACAAACATATTTCCTATTTGTATTTTATATTTGTTTTTGCTGAATAAATGTTAGCTAAGTGGCATGAAACAAATTGCACTAATATTTTGATTAATACCACTTTTCAACTATAAAATCCCGAATAATAAATTCCTTTTCATTATTGACAATGCTAACGTAATACAAGCAAGTTACAAGTAACTTCAACAAAGCCAATCCTTTTTACCTGTGAGCGTTTTTTTAACCAAAATAGCTCATTCATAATGTTGAATATTCTAAAGCAAAAATTTTACATTTTCGGCCTACCGAATTGGCTCACAGATCTAATTTTTCAATAAATAATATAAAATACAATTCATTGAAAGGATTTTTAGGTACAAATTTAAAAGTTAGATAAATTTTGTAGAAGAGTCCATATTTTCATCCCTTTTCTTTCTATTTAAAGTTAGTCTTATATGATTTTTTTAAGGCAAAGCTTTCTTCAGCACATCAATAATTATTCAAACTTTAGACTTACTGAAAGACTAAGCAAAAATGACATCCCATTGAAAATTACGTTTGGTAGTTCAGAGAAGTTAAAGTAAAGCTATTGTGAATAGTTTTTAATTATTAAAAACATAAAAGTTCAGTTAGAATCATTCTCTACAGTCTTCTGTAGTTTGAAGTCTTTTTCATAAAAGCTAATAATTGTTAATTCCATTGTTTAATGTTTGTAGCAGATTTTAATCAAAAGCACCAAGATCAGAGAGTAGTAATCTATCAAAGGATATCAGAATAGAAATTACGAGCCCGAAATAGTTTGCTGAAGAGTAAAATTACAATTATATTGAAATATGAAATTTATGCTGTAACCTTGTCGGTGGAGGCACAATTGGAGCACGACGAAAATAAGGTGTATTAGGTAAGAGATGATATGGTGCTGGTAGATTTAGGAAACGATTCTTCTCATTTCCATTATCACGTGGTATCCTCTCATAAAAGTGACCCGTCTAAAATTTAAGTTCTAACTTATGAAAAGAAAAAGTTGATATCCTACAGTAATCGGAGGACGCTTCAATGTAATAAAGAAGAGATAAGCTAAAAAATTCGAAAAACATTTTTTTTTAAAAATTACCACGCACCTCAGACATATTATTAGCTTCAGAAATTTGTTTCAAGAAAAAGGCAGTGGCCGGTGATGGCCTGGTACCCGGTCGTTCCGGGGATGGCACATTGTCGTTGAGGGTCATCGTTGAAGCATTTGGATGGAAAGAAATATGGTAACGCTTGCTCATATCATTGTTAGAATTTGTGAATTCGAATAGCTTTGTGTCACCAGTAATATATGAATCATTATCATCCTTATTTTTCATCACTGCAAATGCTAACTATCTCATTTCCTTTTATCTTTATTATGAATAGGTAAAATATAAAAGTATTCTATGACATACCAATTCTACCATTTGTTAGACTTAACTTTCGCATCAAGTGAACATCTTGCAATAACTTATGAAATATTTCAATTACTAATTCCAATGATTCTAGCAGTAATAATTTAGAAAATCTCCTCACATTTCGACTGTATAATTAATAGAGTAAGAAGGATTACTTGCTGCTATATGGAACTATAATTCCACCCTAACCTTTCTAGCGTTATTTGTACTTTTGACCTCTTTCTCCAAGACTGTTTTTTAACCAGTGCGTAAATGTAGCTAGCAGCCTCTGAATGAAGCTTGCTCTCTGAGATAGAGAGATAGAGAGAGATAAAAAGAGAGAGAGAGAGAGTTTGAAACAAAGGGGACTATTTATAAAATACCATACTTCCTGCCTTCTCAATTAATTCACAAATACAAATTTATCTCTCGCTCCGTCTTTTAAATGTTGTTGTTACCGTAGAATTTTTCCAATTTTGGAATAAAACTGTTTACATTGATGAGAGGTGCAGTTCGCCGCATCAACAGCTAATTTGTTATTCATAAATAGGTGAGCTTGTTTGAAACTCCATAATTTCAATACTCTTCCCTTTGTCTCCAATTTCTTGCCACATATCTTTCAAGTTTTTTGAAATTATTTTTTTCAAATGTAATATGAGAAATGTTGTGATAAAATATAAAATAAACATTAAATCTAAACGTTTGGTTTTTTTTAGATTTTTTATTCAAATAACACATTCATGAAAAATCAATTCAACCTATGTTTACTTCGACCAATTCTTTTCTTGTACCAAGCAAAAAAACAAGGCTTACATTCTTCATATAATTTCTAAATTGCAATTTATAATATTGGCAAATAGCCTAGAGCTAAATGAAATTTAGGCGAAACTTAGAACTGAAATTGATGCCTATTTTTGTATACCATAATAGCATTCTCTTTTTCAATTTCATTAGTGAATACAATGATATAGCCATTATTGTCGCTTATTTGAATCCATTTTACTTCTTTTATATTTCCATACCTATAAGTTTAAATTCTCGAAATTTGTTGCTTGTTCAAATAATAAAGTGTTTGTATCAACAGCGTTTTCATTTATTTCCATATCACCGATGATAGCATTTCAGAAAATTAACAGGCGGTTCTTCGAAAAGCTCTTTTAATTAGTTACAGAATAAAATTCTTATTTATAAACAAATTTCTACCACTCATTTTATTTTGTTAGAAATAGGAAAATGGAGATTTCCTGCTGTTAGATTCTCCCAGCTTTCTGTAAATGCAAAACTTTTGTCATCTGATTTTCATGCTATGCGAACAATAAGTTGAATCCTAAGAAATATTCTTTTCAATTTTTTAATCTAAATTCTAAATGACGAAGTAAAAAAAATTTCAAGTTTTCGTCAGCAAAAAAAGACAACTAGAAATTTAAAATGACAAAAAAATTCCAAAAGAAAAAGTTTGAATTAAATGCTTACTAAGACTTTATAAGCATTAATTTGAATGATTTTCTACTTCCAAAATATTTGCTGAAATAACTAAAATTCATTCTTTAGATCCTGCCAGGTTTTACATGATTGGAAAATGTCGTGAGAATCTCATGTTACTTCAAAATGATCTCATAGATGCCATATGCTATGTGGCATGTTGGCAGTGTGTCTTTTCAGTTTTCATTTCAATAAATCTCAAAATATCGGAATCTTAAAATTACTCAAATTCATCATTTTTTAGCCGTTCATCTCTCTAATATTAACGAACCGTGAGAATATTTCTGTTATTTCATTTTCGGACAAAAAATTTCCGGATAATAATGTCGCAAATATGGACAACGATGAGCTGTATTGAGGCGTCCACTCTTGCAGATAGTTCCTGGATGTTGACAGTATTGGTTTCCTATCGTCCGTATCATTAACGTAATTCTCATTACCGCTATCATCATTATCATCATCTTCGCTTGAGAATATTGACATACTACTGCTACAGTGATCAGAAAACAATCCATCACCAGTCGATAAAGATGATTCAGTTGATGTGCTTATGTCACTTACTCCTCGAGCTTGTTCTAAAGTAAGAATCAAATCCCGAATACTTCCACCAGTTTCGCTCTCATTAGCATTCATAATTGGAATATTAATATTAACAGTGCTTTTAGTTCCCAAGGCGTTTCCGGTTAAAACAGAGTTAATGTTGTCGAATTATTCTGATTTCTGCTGAAATTGCCGTAAAAGAGGACGTATTTGCTTGAAGTGCCGTTCCTTTTACTCGACAACTGCGCCGAAAAAAAAAACTTAAACAAAAACATGCAATTGTCGCCTCTCTCCTTTGGCTCCCAAACAATAAAACACACCGGCCGAGCAACTTTTTCCAATTCACATAACAATATCCAGTAATTTTTCCAGTTTTTTATATATTTACTCTAACTGAAATTACATTTTAAAATGTGAATGCAAAATTTTTTAATTTGCGTCCATATTTAAAAATTTCAACATAATTACATAAATTTTTGAAATGCTTTTGGTTATAAAATGTGCTACTTATTTCCTTGATTAAAATTATTAGCATGATATTTAAATGGAAAATTTTACAAAATCTTCCAAGAAACGTATTAAAATCATGTAGTAAAATGATAAATCTTATCATCAACTTTCAACATTTTGTCCCTATTTCTTGTATTGTAAAAAGACAGTATTCCTTCTCTTTTATCCTTTTAGAGCCAGCTTATAATATCTTCTTCTATAAACTAGTTTAATAACTCTTTACTTTTTCTAAAAATCAACGTTGAAACTATAAAAAGTTTAAAAAATGTTGAAACATAGAGAATAAAATCGGAAAAATCTTATTGAACAGGGATTTTCTCATCTTTCCAGGAAGTTCTTAGCTCTGAAGAGGATGATTTTCAAGAAAATATTTCAAATAGAAGTTAATTTTGAAGTTTCCAATTATTCCCTAATAATACATTCTTACAGCTAACATAGTAAATAAAAGTTGCAGACAATTAAGTAATATTATTTCCGTGAAATAATTTAAATGCAAAATTATTTTTTCTTGATTCTAATTATCTTTATTCAGAATTAAAGAAGAAAAAAGGAACAATAAGAAAATGGAAGACTAAGAAGAGGAATAATTAAAAGAATAACTGTAAAATTCACAATTAATTTTTCACACTTTCTAAAATGTAAATTGGTTATGTCTTTCCACGTATTAATATATCTATTAACTCTCTTTTAATTGACACTTGACCTCTCCCTTCCTTTCATAATGTTACTGCTAATGCATGGAAAAATAATAAAAATGATTAAACGATGAAGTCTTTCAATAAGGTCAAGTTTCAATTACGTACAAAAACTGAAGCGCTTTTTCACTTGAAATAAAGTTTCTATTCAAAACGTTTATCGATTTTTTTACAATTTATACTGTAACTTTAAGTTAAATCAGAGAAAAAACTTATTCCTGTCAGATTTACTATAACTGTAACATTAAGATTCACTGATTTATCAAGTTCATCTTTTTTTGCCAGTTAATTTTTTCAATTATGTAACAGTTGTCGGGAGAAATCTACTTTGAAATATTAATATTTATGCGACTTTCATGTAAATAAATAGTGCTTACTACACACTTTGTTTTCTAGGCCTTAAATTTCAAGAAAAGTCTTTGAGAAAAATTTCTGCTCGATTTACAAGAAATCAATGATTAGGCAACTTCTTTTAAAAGAGCTACAGGAAAATTGCATACATCCTTTAAAAAGAAATTATCATGTTAAGGAGAGAACCGAAAATTGGTACTTCGTGATTTTAAGATTCTTTTAAATTCTTTTAAAAGTCAAACATGGATCAGGTATATTTAATGATTGATTACTTTACAGTCATCATGAAATCATACTTAAACTGCTTTCAGATAAGTCAAACAGTTAGATGCCATCATTAAGGGCTTAGCGCTATGATTTATTTTACTGATTATTATCGTATTTATTTCATAATAACCAGCCAAAATAGCCTCATCAATTTAATATAATTTGATAGGAGGAGACTGTTGAAATTAAAGTTGACTACACTAGTTTGTTCCTTTTATATATTAAGTCTTAAAATTCCCTTACTTTTGCACCAAAACAACTTTTAAGTGTGAAACATTTTGCTATCATTACTGTAAACTTCAATTTCTTTTTCCATCTAAATACATTTTACATTTCACATTTAAATTTTTGAGAATCGTAAATTCCATTCGATGCTGCTTAGTATCTTCATCGACTGAATGATTAAAATAATGCTATCTTACTAATGGTGCAATTTTCATCTTTTCAGACAAAATATATTTCAGAAAAGACGCATCGTTTTGTGTTGTTTATTTATTTCGATTTCAAACAAAATGGATTAGTAATAGAAAAGTATTTCCAAACCAACTTTCGATTAAATTTAAATATATGAAACTGAATAACAGCTCATTCACAACTGGAAGACAATACACTCTGTAAACCATCTCATTTCTTATTAAATGACACAAATTCACTAACAGTGCTATATGCATCTCAATTTGACGACTTTTCAAGCAAAGGAAAGAGGAAAAAAAACTTTTGCAATCATTAATCGGTGAAGAATATGCGTTCATCAGTTATGCAAAACTTTTGAAGTGATTGAAATTAAAATTATAGTGAAATTTTTTTTGCCCGTTCTGTACAATAAAACTTAAATTTTGAATTGAAAGTTAATCTTTAATGAATAAGAGACGGATATAAAAATGAATGATGCTCGAAATACTGTAAAATGCAATAGGTTTAATTAGATTAATTGAATAGAATATTATCTAAAGAAATCTTAAGCGTATTCATTCATTAATTAAGTTCATTAAATTTTCATTAATTATCTAGATTATTTTAACAGAGATTTCTCCAGCTTACTGATAATAATGCATTCATTGTTACTAAGAATGATCTGTGAATTCGGCAAGATTCTAGACATTTATCACTGTATGATTAGGTGTAATTTTCTGTACATAGGAAAGTTTAAAGCTTCACGAAATGCCAGATTTGATAAGATAGTGACAACGAACAAACCGAATATAGGTTTAGGGCAAACTCTCAAGCCTTGCCTGGAAGTATTTACTGCTTAATGAAATGACTCGAACTTAACATTACAAACATTGATGCTTTTGTAAAATAGAAAACTTATTTCGTGAATTGTCTTAAACAAATTAAAATTTTTTTACTTTGAGATGAACGGGACAGTGAAATATGAAGTATAATGGACAATGATGGTAGGAGTTTATCCAAGAAATGAAAATTCTCAGAATTTAATAATCAAATAACTTGAAGGAAAATTTTTTTAAAAAAAAGCGATTTTTTTTTAAGTGATAAATTTAGGAGTTCTAATAAAATAATGATAGATTGATTTAGCAGCTTAGAAAATATAAATAAAATATAAAATATACAAAATGAATTTTATTTCCTGCTTGTGAATTAAAATTTAAAGCTATCTGTAAGTTAATTTCAAAATAAATATTCCATGAATAAATAATTACTGACAAATTGATAAAAATTACAGAGGCATAGAGTGATGGTAATTTCGTAAAGTAATGATGACAGAAAATAGATTTAAAAATAAAATCCCGAATGACTTTTAAAATGCTATATTTATTAACCATATGAATTAAATAAAAGCAACCTTGGACGATTTCAGGATGCATTGAAATGACTTTAACGAATCGGACGATATCACTGAGTGACTACTATTCCCATCACAATCGCACCAAATCATTACTTGTCCTGATATTTGTCGGCCATTAGCATGCCTAAATTTAAATTCGAATTAAATTTCTCATAATTATAATTATAGCAGCCTATCATTACTTGCAAAAATCAAATATATCTCAACCATCATTGTAAATCAAATTATAAATTCAAAAAATTTGGATATAAATAATCATTATTGTTGTGAATAATTCATCGGATCAATATTATATCAATTTCTGATAACTGTTTTTGACTAATTGATATTTTTTTAAGGAACTTCTACCTTGCTAGCACATCTATTTCATACAAATCAAGATCGCCAGTTTCCTTGGCCAGAAGATCAACGCGAAACGGCGATAGCTCTGGAAGATATTTTTTATGTTCCTAACAATAATCAAACAATTATTAAATTCAAAAATTTATGATATAAAATTATTCACATGAATTGAAGATTTGTATCATTGGTAGTTAGGCTGAGGAAAAAAAAAACACAATTCTGTCTTTGTTAAATTAAATTTTTTGTCACATGACCTCTTTGCGCTACTATAATATCATTGAGAAGTTATCGCTTTATAAAGCCTTTGTCTTTTTCATGTATAACTACGAATGTAGCCAATGAATAATCAAACAATTCCTTTGTTCTCATCACTTCTTCCTTCCCCAACATGCCATTGTCTGACCCTGTGGTTTTCTCTTAAGCCCATTGCTCGCTATCCCAGTACCACCCAATATTGGGTATACAGCCATACAGTTACGTTGGACATTATATAAAACACAAATCAACTGGGACTTTTTTCGGAATAAAGCGACTCGATTAAATCTTCTATTTATTTTCTTTCGGTTATCCGCGGTGTTGACAATAAACTAGTACCTATATAATTGATCACTGAATCTCGAATTCAAAAAAGGCATGTAAGTATTTTCTTTTTCTTATATCTAACTAACTCAGTCACTAATTCAACAACTGATCTTTCATGACAGATGATGCCATATTTTATTTGAGCTCATTATAAGTAATCCCTTCCACTGAATCAGATGGCTATTTTCCTGGTAAGCTAACAGCTGAAAAGCTATCAGAATCAAGAAGAATTCTGTAGCTGGAAGACATCAACTTGTTTGTTAGTAAATTTATTTCCTTTTTTTTTAGCTTTAGAAATCTTAATCAAAAAAAAGAGGTGTTACCATATTTTTGCACTTGAAATGTAATTGAATAGATGTATGGCTTTTGACGATCCGGTCGTGCCACAATTTTCCATTCTCCAAAAACCAAATGGTCTGGTAATTGAAATTCTACAGCAAGAAATCGATTGTTAGAAATTGATCTGGTTTTATGTATGATTTCAAAACCATCCGGATTCTAAAGTTCCGAAAATTTTCACTTGAAGATTTTTTCTTTATTAAAAATGGCTAATAATGCAAGTAAATAAGTTCATTTTATGTAAAGTAAACTATTTGAAACGAATAGTCTTTTTTTTTGTAGAAATAAGCTTAGCATGTCTGCATTTCGACGAAATTAATACAATTGAGAAGTATTTCAATTCACAGTACCACAAGTGCAAAATCCACTGATTCATCGTATAACTTTCCGCTTGTGGTAAGTGGCAACGCTCGTACTTTAACTAAAAAGCAAACTTTTTTTAAAAAATATTTTTATTATGTACTTAGCATTAGCTATGAGAAATGAAAAATATTTTCAAAATATATTTTGAAGTCTGTTTTCTAAAAAATTCGACGATGATAAATTAACTTCATTGCCAGCTTCTCACTTCTCTTATCATCACATTCAAGATGTGGAGGTGGCAAGTTTTAAATATTGAATGAGTATTGTTAATTTTAAATTAAATTCTAGAATATTTAAAATTCATGTACCAGTATCAGTTGGCTTATAAACGATTTTATCGGTCTGTAAATAAATATTCCTCAGATCGGGTGCACCCGGTATTATTTCCTCAAATGATTCACTGTCATTCTCAGCACGAACAACTAATCGATAAGAATCGGACCGCGCTGTTCCACCCGGTACAAAAAACTTGACACGATTCAATGACCCTGCAACTAACAGCAGTAATAGCTGAACATCCTTTTAATTTATAAATGACCACTACTCATTTACTTTCATTATATTTCAAATATAAATACATATATATTACTTCTCGAGAAATAAATAATAATGAAAATTGAGGAAAGATATGATGGTCAGTTACCAGCAACTTTCGCCTGTAATGTTTGTCGAAAGATTAAGAGAGAAGGGTGAGAAGCATGAATTTCCACACCAATATCAACGAGCTTATTCGTGGAACTGCGGGCAGTTATTAGGATCTCATTGAATGCATTCCATCGTAGTGTTGATTGTGTCACAACCAAAGGTTTCCTGCAAAACACAATCATTGAGAAAATTGGAATTTCCCGGTATATTATAATAGATATTCAAATATTATTATCTAACTTGGTAAAATGAATTAATGAATTCTGGCTGAGGAAAATTATTCTTTCAGTATTCATGTATATTTATCTAAATAAATGATTTTAAGACTAAGATTATTTTGAAAATATAATCTGTTTGTATGAAATTTTTATGGAAAAACAAATGAAAGAGGAGAACTATTGGTAAGCTAAAAAATTTATTACTATCAATAAAAAGATAATTTACTTACTGGTCAGTTTGATGAAATTTTATTAAAAATAAAATGGAAGTAAGTACAATCATAATTATCCGTTCCACTTTTTTCCTTCTTTGTGATATATAATGAGTAGGTAAAATGCTGAATGACAGATGAAATAAATTAGTGTTTAATATTTATTCGATGGCCATAATTGAACAAATTTTCTGCAACATTCCATTCTCCTAGAAATGCATTTAACAATTATTGATTAATGCATTCTATTTTTTGACAATGATTTGAATTTCGAATTCTTTCAAATGATTGCAGTAATATTAGAAAGATGATTAGAAAAAGCTTCAGAAACAAAATTTTTGAAATTATTTCATCAAATTGAAGCACCAAAGAATTAATGCTTATCATTTTATGAAGCATGTATGGTTGTGCGCAAAAATTGTGCTGATTTTTTGATACTTAGATAATGAAATTTCTAATAATATAAAAATTCAAATAAAAATATGGGCAACTGATCAGTGACTAAAATATCCATCGATCGATTGAAGATGCAGTAAACTAGTCCATCTTTGTGTAATTTTTTTTAAAAAAAGACCTTATAAAATAGTGTAAAATTCGTATCACTGCATGAATTTTATGATTTTGTTGCAAACTAAACAAAATAAATCGGAGCAATGAAACTATCGAATGAGTACGACAACATCCGCATCATTGTATTGATTGTAAGGATTTTATATCAAACATTTTCCTTTCGATCTTCGGATTTCTCCTACTTTCAAAATTAGGACTCTATTTTGGAGGTAATCAAATTGCAAAGACTAACAGTTTAAGTGAAAAAATAAAATGATATGCTCAAATTCTAGACTTTTTGAGTTTGAAAACAATTTCATACATATTAAAATTGCACATATGTTTCCACTCAGCTTGCATCCGTCACCACACACACACACACACACACACACACACACACAC